CTGAAGATCATAAAAGTGCCCAAAAAGTGTTGAAGGGTCTCGGATTTGGGTATGAAAATTCACGCATGTGTAAATAATTGTATATTGTTCTATAAGGAGAACAAACAGTTGGATAAATGCCATGTCTGCAATAAGCCGAGGTTTAAAATGACATCACAGAATAGAAAGACCAAGATTCCACAAAAAGTAATGTGTTATCTTCCATTGAAGCCTAGGTTGCAGCGATTGTACATGTCGATGCATACCGCAACCGACATGAGATGGCATAAAGAAAGACGAGTAAATGATGATGTTATGAGGCATCCTGTAGATGGAGAGGCATGGAAAGAATTCGATCAGATATACCCTAATTTTGCAGCTGACCCGCGCAATGTTAGATTGGGACTTGCCACCGATGGATTTAATCCGTTCGGGGTTTTAAACCAAATGCACAGCACTTGGCCGGTCGTCATGTTTCCTTATAATCTGCCACCTTGGAAGTGCATGAAAAAAGAATACATGATGTTGACTCTAATAATTGCCGAAGATCCAGGAAAGTCCATTGATGTTTATTTACTGCCGTTGGTTGATGAGCTAAAAGATTTATGGGAAAACGGTGTTCGTACATACGATAAATATATTGGGCAGATGTTCACCATGCAAGCGGCAGTGATGTGGATAGTAAATGATTTTCTAGCATATGCAATGGTTTCTGGGTGGATGACTAAGGGTTATTTGGCATGTCCAATATGCAAAGAGAATGTAACATCATCTTGGCATGCAAGAAAAGTTTGTTATCTTGGTCATCGTAGATGGCTCCCTTGGGACAACGAGTGGCGTTATAATGATAAAGCCTTCCACGACACAAAAGAGACTCAGCTAAGACCAAGAGAATGGTTCGGATATGAGATTTTGGATCAGTTAAACCGTTTAGAATTTGGTAATTTCAGCAAAGGGGTCAGTAACCCCAGACCAACCATACATCTGAACTGGACGCACAAGAGTATGTTATTTAAGCTCCCGTACTGGTCAAAGTTAAAATTGAGACACAACCTCGATGTTATGCATATTGAGAAAAATGTGTTTGATACTTTGGTCGGGACAATTCTAGACATTGAAAGAAAAACAAAAGACACGATGGAAGCTTGCCCCAATTTGGAACGAATAGGCATTAGGTCATCCTTGTGGATGAAGAATGTCGGTGGTACATTAAAGAAAGGCCATCCCTTTTTTACAGTTAAGCCGAATGGGAAGAAAGAGTTTTTCAACTTTATTTCTTCTGTAAAGTTTCTAGATGGGTATGCTTCCAATATATCGCGTTGCGTGAACGTGAAGGGGTGTAAATTTTCAAACATAAAGAGTCATGACTGTCATGTGATACTCCACCGCCTTCTTCCGGTTGGTATTCGACACTTATTGCCTCTAGATGTGGTTAAACCAATCGTGTTGTTGTCGAGATTTTTTTCGCAGTTGACTGCAAGGTGTTTGCGGAAGTTAGATGTTAAAAAATTGCAGGACGACATTGTGAACGTTTTATGCAAGTTCGAATAGATATTCCCCCCAGCTTTCTTTACAAGTATGATTCACGTGATGATTCACTTGCTAGATGAGGCATTGCTTGCCGGACCAGTGAACTGTCGATGGATGTATCCAATAGAAAGGTACTTAATTAAGCGTCTATATATATATATAACATATTCATGATCAACGAACGCTTTGAATAATTTGTAGCATACCTTTTACTTGTGCAGATATATTGGTGAGTTGAAAAAGTGTGTTCGAAACAATGCAAAGCCTGAAGGATCACTTGTGGAGGCATGGGTCGCATATAAGTCACTTACTTTTTGTGCAATGTATCTTGAAGATGTTGAGATAGCTTTCAATCGTCCTCAACGCAATAATGACGGTGGTGTTAGAAAAGAGAAACTGTCTGTTTTTGCCCAAATTGCGCAACCATTCGGCGATCCTGTAAAAGGTGAATCGTTTACCAAAAAAGACATGGAGGTAGCGCATTGGTTCATACTCAACAATTGTGATGATGCTTTGCCATACCTTGAAGAGCATGAACAATTGATGAAGCGGGAACATCCTTCACATTTATATGCCAAGAAGCACCGTGACTTGTTTCCTTCGTGGTTTCACGCACATGTAAGTTGTATGTGGTTTGAATTGAGCATATTTTCCAACTTGTTCATGCCCGTCTTTAAATTTGGTTACACTAACAGGTTAACTTTTTGTATATGTTATATTAGATGAACAAATTGAAGGAATTGAATTCACCTTCTTACGATGAAGAATTATATAACTTGGCGAGAGGACCGCTGCAAGTTGAATTGTTCTCGGGTTGTCATGTCAATGGGATCAAGTTCTTGGGGGCAACACGTGATGATAAGTTGTCTACTCAAAACAGTGGTGTCCATGTCCCAGGTGAGGGCGACAGTGAAGACATTGATTTTTATGGCAAACTAACTAATGTAGTACAATTGCTTTACAAAGATAGGTGTCAAGTGATATTGTTTAAGTGTGTTTGGTTTGATACAAACCCACATAACCTAATGAGTGTTAAGCGAGACCATGGTTTACTATCAGTAAACACTATGAGACGTTGGTACGATGAAGACCCATACATTTTGGCAACAATGGCAAAACAAATATTCTATCTAGACGACCCTAAAGCCGGCAATGGTTCGAAAGTTGTTCAGAAGATTGATCGAAGAGGGCTATATGATATTCCAGAAGTAGATCATGATGACAATGGTGACAATGTCGCTGACCAACAGTTATCATCTTCGATAGAAATTGGTGAAGAAACACTCCGGGATACTAATATTGTCCAAGAACCGTTTGACGTACCTGGAGTTCCCGAATTTGAAATATCAATTGATCTTGGTGATCTGCCTCAATACAAGGCACCGGAAGAGGAAAATAAATATGAAGACGAATAGGAATCCAGAAATGATAGTAGTGAGGATAGCGAGAGTTATTATTGTAGTTTGGATGAGGATTAATATAAACTTGTAAAGGAAAAAGCAGGGGGGATAAGGGTTTAACACCGCTTCTCATCTACCCAACTTTAATATTCCCAACAAATCGTCTAATCGTCTCCATTCTTTGATCAGGTATTTCTAGATGTGATTTGTTTTTTTTTTTTTTTTGGCATTCAATACATTTGATTTGGATTTTTTTATAATTCAAAATGTATTATGTTTGTTTGTGATTGTTCGGCGGTTTACTTGTTTTTTTGTCTTGATTATGCATTGTAAATGTAATCGATTTTGCTTTTGTAAAGTCAATTTTTTGTGATTGATATGGTTTGTGTTTGTTGGTACAATGTTGCAGTTCCCATTGGTCTCTACGGGTTTCAGCATTATCTTTCCATGTTGGGTTTGATAATTCTAATTCCACTTGTCATAGTGCCGGCAATGGGTGGTACTTATGTGAGTCGTTATGCACATATATTTATTTTATGTTATGCTTTTGTTTACTGGAGGGTACAGTGTTGGATAGTTTGAACTGACTGGATTTAGAGTATGTAGGAGGATATTGCAAATGTTGTCTCCATAGTGCTTTTTGTTTCGGGAGTGACTGTAAGAATTCATGTGATACAGGGCCCGTCATTTGTTTACCTAGCTCCTGCATTGGCGATAATCAACTCCCCAGAATTTCAAGGACTCAATGGAAATGTATGCTTCTGTTCTTGCTTTTGTTTAGTTTGATTGGGAGCTTAGTGAATATCTTTTTGTATTTACCACAGGCCCTTCAATAGTTAAGTGTTCAGCCAAAACAAAGTGAATTTTGTTAGTGTTGTCTTATAAAATTTCCGAATGCTTTAAATAGCACACATCTTAGTGATTACCACATGCGTGATGTCTGCCATCTAATAATGTTGTTTGCTTTTCTTGTTTCTGTCCTTTGTTGATTAGCTCGTATGGTTATATTATTAGAAGTTTCGTTTTGTTGCTTCAGTTTAAAATTTGCATTTTAATAGCTCACATCGTTCAAAATAGGCTTGAGAAGGGCATTTGCAGATTTGGCACTAAAGTACTGACATCCCTTACATTGATATGATTTTAGGGAAAAATTCAAGGTTTGTGGATCGATACAAATGGTTACATTTACGGCTTTCCTAGTGCTAATCGAGTAAATTTTATAGAGGAAAATCCAGGCTCTATCTTGAGAGCACACAACTGCAAACAGCCCATCAGTTGCTACATTAAATGGAAGAAAAACTAGAAGCCATGTCATTTCTGAACCTGCTGCAGCTCCCTCCATGCTTCTTCAGGTAATCTAATTGTTCTCATTATCTTCCTTTCCTTCATCTTGTTTTTGATAAAAGAAAATTGTAGCAAAGAATCGCATTTGTGTATGAAACTTCACAACAAAGCCTCATTCCCCCAAAGTCTCGTGGCCTCTCCTACCTTTTTAATCTTTTATGTATGAGTTTCATAGTTCTGCAACTGATGCTTGCCTATCCATGTTTCTGGTTTGTGATATTTTTTGGACCGCACATCATCAATTATGCACCATTCAGCCAAGTTTTGCACGACAAAAGCCCGATCGTTTGAAGTAACACGAGAGATGGTAGAAGAAAAGAGAGAAAAACTACTTAGGTCAATCTGGAAGATGGAAAGACGATGGCATTCTGGCAAAAGCACTTCCTACCAGCAATATTTTCTCTGACGGATCGAGCCTGTAGTTCAACATGGAAGATAAATTGTAACTTTGTAGGTGGCGCTGCTGTTACTTGTACGCCATCTTTCATCATACGATTTCATTTGTGGAGTTAGCAGAACATGTTCCATTAGTTCTTTTCAATCTTCAGCATTATCCATTATTTATTCCAAATCAATAAATTTCAGTCTGTATATTCTCAGTAATCATTTCTCACTTCATGCTCTTTCGGCATTATGTATCTGCATCACTATATCCGCTGAATGCGGCTATTTTCCTTATTAAAACTTGATTACTAAACGCTGCAACGTAGCTTCAGGTTTTTAATATAATCTGTAACTGGAAAGATATGCAGGTTTTACACAAACATACTTAAAGTAACCTTCAAACTGTTATACTTTTTTTACAATAACACTCAATCGCAAAGAAGATAAAAGTAACATTTGCATTATATGAATCAGGTAGTTTAGAACACGAGAGTTTACACTAATCTCTACTCTCTAGATAGATTAAGCGCTGCCACATTTCTGGCCAGTTCATCTAAAACAGGGTAGGATTCTTTCTCAAGGTATGCCACACTTGAAGTCAAGTATGTACAGACAACTTCTAGTGCAATATCCAGAACCTGAAACTCAAATGGGAGATCACATTGCACACCTGCAAATTGACAACAATCATGAGTCTTTTTTCGATTCAAATTCAACTCCACATTCTTATACGAACAATCGGCGCACATGCAATTCTTGAAAATTACTGATCACCACACATGCAATTCAACTAGATCAATCAGCTTCATGCATTGATAGGAATACATAAGGTGTTTCAAACGTTAATAGTTTTTGGCAACTAATCAAACATAAAGAGGAAACATAGAGTTCGGAGAAAAACAAACTAGAAGGACAAACTGATCAATTAATCACCAAGGATGTATCCAAATGACACTGTCAATCTGCTAATTAGGTACCGAAACAATAATTTCATCATCGCGAATCCCGTTTTCAATCGCGTTAAACGTAGCAAACCAACTTATGTTCTCTATGGCATTCAACCCTAGCTAGATTCCTAATCAACTCCTTGTCATATATGACTGCAACTCTATCCTTCTCATCATCAATGGCTTTCAGCTAAAATAAAATTCGAATACATAAAGAAGGCATGCATTTGAAACAATTTTGGTCCTGCATATTGATAAAGCACCAAATTCAAATCCCGTAACAAATGGCTTGTCGCCTTCTATTGCAACTACTTCTTCACAGTCCAACTCAACTCAAATATCTTCTTGATATAACAGTTTCATTTATTTGTTGTTTATAATTTATCTCTTTGGTTTATATATCTCTTGTTTTTGTCTAGAGTTTTACTTGTATACAATTCAATCATGTAAATCTATAAAAGGAAATACAAATCACACTACTCAGTATCGAGCAATTTTATGCAACTCATAATCTCATCTAAGCAATCTTTTATGGTATCCCAGAGCGATGTCTAACGACACTTTCAAAACCCTAATTTTTTTCCCTTCCACTGTTTCCATAGATGCTCTCAACACCACCTCAATCAAAACATGCAATTCTTGAAAGTTACTGAAATCAAAACAACAACTTCCACTCAATTTCTCAGCAACAAAAGATCAAGCCAAATCAAAACCAACAACTTTCAACTAAATTGCACAAAAGAGTCCAAATTTAATTACTATACAGAACTATCGGTCTAATTGAAAACAATCAGAATTCGAGACTCTACCTCCTCCATCCTCCAAGAGCGAAGCCTTCCTCAGGCAGCATCGCCGACGGAGGCGGAAAAATCGGATCGTCGGACCTGCCAAACCCTCCATCCAAGCCCTGGTTGTTCGATTTGTCGTAGATAGAGGAAGGAGAGAAGGCATCCGACGCCAACTGAGTAGCGAAAGCGTCGTCTACGGCGGAGCCGTGGAATATTGGGGAATCAGTGGCAGAGTCCTTGAGCGACTAGGAGTCGACGAAGGATTTGAATCTCTGGGAGAAGAGTCGGGGGTCGTAGCCCAGGTAACCGGTGTCGTCGAACGGGCGAGTTGACCTGATAGTCAGGATCGAGTTGTGGCACCGTAGTGGTAGCACCGATAAATACCACCGTAGCTTCAACGAGAAGATGAGTGAGCGGTGGAGTAGGCGCTAAGGAAGCGGTGGCAGGCGAGAGTCCATCTTAAGAAATGATGGATCCATCTTAAGAGAGAATGATGGATCCTGGAAAAGTCGAGAAATGAGGCGAGAGTCAGTGGTAGAAATGAAAGGTAGAGATTTAATCTCCATATAATAAAAAAGTAAAAAATTAAAAATAAAGAAGACTTTGCGAGACGTAGGTATAATTGCGTCGTGCAAAGATGTTTTGCGCGACGTATGCGTACCTACGTCGCGCAAAGTCTTCTTTTTGTTTTTTATTTTTTTTTGTCCCCTTTTGCTTTTCTTTTGGGGTTCTTGCATTGCCTTTTTCTTTTGTGGTATCCACTTGTGTAAATATTTGAAATTGACGATCAAATTAGTTCATTGTATTCATATAGGGTTAAAGAGTGTAGTTGTAAAAAATCATCAAAATCGGGGTTAAATTAACCGTTAAATCGTGATTTTTCATTTATAGCCGTCGAAATATTTTGTCCCGTACTTGATCTCTGAATGTTTTTTTTTTTACGATTTTTGGCGTATACGATCTCGAAGCATATACAAACAAGTTTGACGGTTTGATCGTTGAAACTAGTTTCGTACAATGCGTATCCCATCAAAACATTAGATTCACTAACACTTGAAGTTTATTTATACTTTCATTAAGTATAACATAAGATTTTGTGGTATCCACTTGTGTCAATGTTTTAAATTGACGATCGAATTAGTTGATTGTATTCATATAGGGTTTAAGAGTGTGGCTATAAAAATTCATCAAAATCGAAGTTAAATTAACCGTTAAATCGTGATTTTTCGTTTATATCCGTTGAAATGTTTTGTCCCGTTACTTAATCTCTGAATGTTTTTTTTTTTTTGCAATTTTTGGTGTATGCGATCTCGAAGCATATACAGACAAGTTTGACGGTTGGATCACTGAAACTAGTTTCATACAATGCGTATCCCATCAAGTTCAATGGTATATATATTTACAAAGTAGATTTTAATTTATTTATTTTGTACTTATAACACTTAAGAAATTGAATGATATATATATAGAAAAAATTATTGTGGGTTTTTGTTAGCAAAATATATTTTTGTGGGGTTTATTTAAAAAAAATTAATTTTGAAATGAGGAAAATCACATTTTCAGTAATTTTTATAATAATTTTTTTTTTTGAAAAAATACTTTGCGCGACCCCTTTATGTGTACGTCGTGCAAAATCACTTCGCGCGACGTCAAATTGTATAACTACGTTGCGCGAGTTGTGATAAATTTGGCGGTCCAATAGTGAAAAATGGGCGTTTTTTTTTCAATTTTCCAACTTTTGACAAAATAATTGAACCATCCCTCCCAAGAACTTGTCCTTCCCAGTTTTGGAGTTATTAAAAAAAGCTGAACCTTCAAGCTCTTTTTTCAATTTTCCCCGTAGACCCCAGACCTTGAACCCTCCCTTTTTTTTCCCCTTAGACCCCAAATCCCCCTCTCTTTCTTTCCCTATTTCTTTCCCCGTTAACCCCAAATCCTGTCTTTCCTCTTGGGTTGTCGAACCCAGACCTTGAACCCAAACAACAGGCCGCCACGGGAATCTCGAAGCCGACGCGAATCAAGTCCCAAAATCAAGGAAAGGGTTTCTGATTTTCGATGGGTTTTTGTTATTTAGGGTTTTTGTCACAAATTTATCTGTTACCAAATTGCTGCATTTCTTCCTCCTGTATTTAACTTTAAACCCCAAGGTGAGTATGATTAGTATCCTTTACATAAACACATAATACCATTTCAGTTTTCTACAAATTTTTATGGAGATTGCTGGCATTGGCTTCATGGTGATTATGATCATTGCAAGTTCTTTAATCCGATGTGAATAAGATGGCTTGATTATGTCTATTAAAACTACTTATTGGAGAAAGGTGGTTTTGTGTTTTTCTGTTCTTTTATTTAGTGGTATTCTCTCTAGCTTATTAACTTGATTACCACATCTATGTTAATTAATAGCTTATAGTCCTACATATTTAGGTATAGTTTACAAGATAAATTTTGTTTCTTTAACACCTTTGTATTCCATGTATTTAATTTGATGGCATTAAGTATTAAGCCACGTTGGGCCACCTTTAATAGGGATAGATGTGGTTCCCGTACGTTGCAACGAGTGAAGCTGTGATATATTCTTGTCCTTGTTTCCTGTTTGGAGTTCATCTCCTTGTTTCTATGTCTACACTTGTGTCGTGTTTTGTTCCGAACTACTTTTTGCTCTGAGTATGAGTCAAACCACTCTGAACTCTGTCCAGAGAGGAAGTTCTGAGGTTGAGATGTTACTGTTAAAATGCATGAAATAAACATGTTGGAATAATGGTGTTGGATGACTAGTGAAATTAGGCTAGTCAACTTTATTGTTCAAAGTTAGGCAAGTTAGGTTTCTTGTTCAAAGTTAGGCAAGTTAGGTTAGTCAAGCAAGATAGGTAAGTTAGGCAAAATTAGGCTTATGATCTTTTTCTTCCCTATATATATGTTTCATCTTGTAATTGTTTCATCAAGCAAATATACATCAAAACTCAATATGGTATCAGAGCTGTGATCTGGGAAAAACCACAAAACACAGCTCTAAAGCAGCCACGAGATCAACCATTCTAGGCATGGCCTCTCATTCAAAATGGGAAAATCCCAACCACCCGCTCTATCTCCACCACTCGGATCAACCTGGTGCAATCCTCGTACCACAACCATTGGTGGAAGACAACTACAACACATGGGTTCAATCCATGAGTATGGCCTTAATGGTCAAGAACAAACTTGGTTTTGTTGATGGGACGATCAACAAACCAAGTAAGGATAATTTTGAGGAGCTGCAGCAATGGAATCGCTGCAACAACTTGGTCAAGACATGGCTACTAGGCTCCATGTCAAAGGAGATTTCAGGGAGTGTCATCAACTACAAGGATGCTTGACAAATGTGGACCGATCTGCAGGAGAGGTTCTCACATGTGAATGTAGTTCAGCTGTTCCATGTTGAGAATGAGATCCATGATTGCGTCCAAAGCAATATGAGTGTAAGTTCTTACTTTACTAAACTTAAAAGTTTATGGGATGAACGTGATACTTTGTGTTCCATTCCAGCATGCAGTTGTGGAACAAAGAATGAGATGAACTCATATGTTGAAACTCAGAAAACCATGAAGTTCCTTATGGGACTGAACGAATCGTATGCTACGGTTCGAAGCAATACTCTTCTTCTCGAACCACTGCCTACGGTGAACAAGGCATATGCGTTGGTCCTTCGACATGAACGCCAGGCAGAGGTTTCCAATGGGAAAATCACACAACTAGAAACTGTTGTCTTTGCAGTGAAGAATCTCTCGCGAGAACCTACACCTGAAGACAAGGAGATGCGATGTGGAAAGTGCAATAAAACCAATCACATCACCAAAAATTGTCGTGCACATCTCAAGTGCACTTTTTGCGGATGGAAAGGCCACACCTTCGATTTCTGTCGAAAACGGAAAGCAGCCACAAAGACCGAATCCAATCGTCTCTTTTCTTCAAAGGGGAATCAAGTTTCACAAAGTAACAAGCAAGAGACAGTGCCTAATTTCCCGTTCTCTCAGGAGGACTGCAAGCAAATCCTTCAGATGTTGAACAAGAACAAATCATCATTTGCCAATCAAGTCAGTAATCCTCATAGTCATGAAGAACTTTCAGGTAAAGCCTTCTCTTTTTCATGTAAAGGAACCAAAAGCATTTGGATCCTGGACAGTGGTGCCACGGATCACATAGTTTGCAGTCCTAGTCTCCTTACACACTCACGAGCTGTTGAAAATCATACAGTTGAACTGCCAAATGGTTCCGTTGCCAAAGTCACTCACATTGGACAAGTTGTTTTCTCTCATAATCTTATCCTTGAAAATGTCCTATGTGTGCCGTTCTTTAGGTTGAATTTAATATCTATCAGTAAACTAGCCTATGATTCCTTATATGTCACCATTTTCTTCACCCAATTTTGTGTCATTCAGGACCTTCGCTCGGGGAAGATGATTGGGACAGGAACTGAAAGGGATGGACTTTACTACCTCGACCCATCAAAGAAAGGAACATGCAATAATATTCAAACCGTCTCACCAAAGCTTTGGCACCAACGCCTAGGACACCCATCTCATAAAGCCACTTCGTTATTACCTTTATTTAACAATAAGGCTTGTGATTTGGAAAAATGTTTAATCTGCCCATTGGCCAAACAAACAAGATCACCCTTCCCTTTGAGCTCTATTTCTACCAAATCATGTTTTGAATTATTGCATATTGATATTTGGGGTGGTTATCAAGTTGCTTCTATTTCAGGTGCCAAGTATTTCCTTACCATCGTAGATGACTACACTAGAAGCACTTGGGTTTATTTGATGAAACATAAATCTGACACAAAAGACATTTTAGTCGGATTCATTCAAATGATTGAGACTCAATTCAATACCAAAGTTCAAATCATACGAAGTGACAATGGCCCTGAGTTTAAGCTTGAGCAATTTTATGCTCTCAAAGGCATCATACATCAATCTAGTTGTGTCAACACACCACAACAAAATGGTGTTGCCGAACGTAAACACCGGCATTTGCTCAATGTTGCTCGGGCTTTGCTCTTTCAAGCTTGTTTGCCAAAACGTTTTTGGGGGGATGCAATCTTAACCTCAGCCTACCTCATCAATAGAACACCCACTCCACTTCTCCAAGGTAAAACACCTTACGAAAAACTGTTTCACAAAGCACCTAACTATTCCCATTTAAAGGTTTTCGGTAGTTTATGTTTTGCTTCTACACACGCCCAAAGGCCCTCTAAATTCGACCCTCGTGCAATCCAATGCATTTTTCTTGGGTATCCTTATGGTCAAAAGGGTTATAAATTGTTTGATATAAAACACAATAAGACTTTTGTTTCTAGGGATGTTGTTTTTTTTGAAGATCATTTTCCATTCCAAAATCATACCACTTCCGCTGCCCCATCTCCATCAAACATTACACCCTCACCCATCACGTTTGACTTGACCTCTTCCATTGAGTCGCCATCAAGCCTTGCACCCGAAGAAATAAACATCACCTCTCCCACACTTGCCAACATCACACCACTCTCATCTCCTTTACCTACTACAACTCCACCACCAGATACCTTATCACCACCTTCACATACCCTACACTCTTCCCCACCTCCAACCACTCCATCACCAGACCACCCACCTCCACTCCGTCGTAGCACTCGACCGACCAAAACTTCCACATTTTTGCAGGACTTTCATGTTGAGGTGGCTCTCCCTTCCCGTGTTGCTCCCACATCTTCCACAAGCATGGTCCAGTCATCAGGTACATCTCACCCCATATCTTGTTATTTATCTTATGACCATGTATCCCCCACTCACAAAACCTTTCTCACCACCCTCACCATTATCAAAGAACCCACCAGTTTTTCGCAGGCTGTTCATGATCCAAAATGGCGTGACGCCATGCAAAAAGAGATTGTTGCCCTTCATGACAATCGCACTTGGACTCTTGTGCCCTTACCACCTCACAAACATCCCATCGGTTGCAAATGGATCTATAAGGTGAAGCTTAAACCTGACGGCAGTGTTGAACGCTACAAAGCTCATCTCGTTGCTAAAGGCTACAGTCAAATTGAGGGGCTTGATTATCGGGAAACTTTTGCTCCAGTTGCCAAGCTCACCACCGTCCGCGTCCTCCTGAGTATTGCCTCCATACGAGGCTGGCATCTTCATCAACTTGATGTGAACAACGCATTTTTGCATGGTGACTTATACGAGGAGGTTTATATGTCCCTGCCTCCTGGGTTCGGACGAAATGGGGAGACACGAGTATGCAAATTACACAAATCCATTTATGGTTTAAAACAGGCCTCGAGACAATGGTTTATCAAGTTGTCTAGTGCTCTCAAGACTGCTGGTTTTCATCAATCATGGTCGAATTACTCATTGTTCGTCCGAAACCGTCAAGGCAGTTTCATAGCATTACTTGTGTATGTTGATGACGTGATACTTGCAGGTAACAATTTGAGAGAAATTGAAGAGACTAAACTCTTCCTTTCCCAACATTTTAAACTAAAGGATTTGGGAAAACTCAAATACTTTTTGGGGATAGAAGTTGCAAGATCTAAACAAGGGATTGCCTTGTGCCAACGCAAATATGCATTGGAGATACTAGAAGATGCTGGGTTCCTTGGTGCGAAGCCCTCACGATTACCAATGGAACCAAACCTGTCCCTTACACAAACTGATGGGACGCTCCTACATGATCCTTCTTCATACAGGCGACTTGTAGGGAGGCTGATTTACTTAACCATCACGCGGCCTGACCTGACTTATGTGGTTAATATGTTGAGCCAATTCATGGACAAGCCACGACAACCACACCTTGAAGCGGTGCATAAGGTTCTCAGGTACATCAAACAATCTCCTGGACAGGGAATTCTTTTGCCTTCTACAGGTTCACTACAATTACAAGCTTTTTGTGATGCTGATTGGGCTCGGTGTAAAGACACTAGAAGGTCAATAACCGGTTATTGTATCTTCCTTGGATAAGCACCGATATCTTGGAAAACGAAGAAACAAAGCACAATATCTCGTTCTAGTGCAGAGGCAGAATACCGTTCTATGGCTACTACTTGTTGTGAAGTTATATGGCTAAGAAACATTTTGAAGGACTTGCAAGTAAATCATGCACAACCAGTCACAATGTTTTGTGATAATCAAGCTGCCATGCACATTGCTTCGAACCCAGTGTTTCATGAACGAACGAAGCATATAGAGATAGACTGTCACTTAGTACGTGAGAAGATTCAAATGGGAATGGTGCAAACAGCTTACATACGGACCTCGAATCAACCTGCAGACTTGTTCACCAAACCACTAAGCTCGGCACAATTTGAGGTCTTAATTAGCAAGTTGGGTGTCATCGACATCCACACTCCAACTTGAGGGGGAGTGTTAAAATGCATGAAATAAACATGTTGGAATAATGGTGTTGGATGACTAGTGAAATTAGGCTAGTCAACTTTATTGTTCAAAGTTAGGCAAGTTAGGTTTCTTGTTCAAAGTTAGGCAAGTTAGGTTAGTCAAGCAAGATAGGTAAGTTAGGCAAAATTAGGCTTATGATCTTTTTCTTCCCTATATATATGTTTCATCTTGTAATTGTTTCATCAAGCAAATATACATCAAAACTCAATAACTATGTTCTAAAGTTTGTGTGGTCTATGTTCTATAGTTTGGGGTATTTATAATCGTTTTCTCTTATAGCTGACCAATTGATTTTCAGTCATGCTCTTCGGTCCCATATTTTTGTATGTAAATTATGTAAATTATGTCAAACAGTTGAAATCACACCAATAATAGGCAGGCAACTCGTATCTATTTGATTTTCCTTAAGCAGACAATATGACCGAGAGAGGATACACTAGTTGAAAACAGACAATATGTCATGTGATCTTGAGTAGTACGAGTGTTGCAAAAGTTCGTGAAACAATTTAGGAAAATCCGAGGCTTTAAGTTTGCATGCGGATAGAGGTGGTTTTGTATGCTTATTTGAAGACCAAATATAACTAATATGTATGTTTATTGTGACTCCCACTGCAAGTAATTTAAGATAAAGACCGGTAATATATATAAGCAAAGAGTTCCTTTTTTCCCTTGGTGTATGGTTGAACTTCCTTTTCGTTCGCTGTAGTTTGTTTAATGTTTTGACTCCGTCTTTGTGCTTTCAATTTGAACAATGATACGAAATATCGCTAGGCGTGGTTTACTAAAACATCATATTTTATTTACAGGATAAGTCTTTCATATATCTAGCCGGCCTATTACAGGTAAAATGTGTGCAATCAAAGCATTCCATCTAACCATAGATGTTGAAGAACTATAGCTGTTTACTTTCCCCAGGCACTAAATTCTACATGTTGTTCTCTCTTTCAGTTTTATTTTATTATTATTTTTATTTTCATGTTATTTCTTTTTCAAGTATTGCATTGAAAGGGTTTACCTTTCCTACTTAACACTCTCCAATTATAATGCGGAACGAGAAGATTCATTTCATTCCTACTTATAGATGTCGAAGTTGAATACTCGTCGTCGGAGTGTGACCAATGCGCCTCCCACATTATCAGCATCTACTGCTCCAGCCGTGAGTGCTCCATTGATTGGGGAGCCTACACCCAATGTTGAGGCTACTTCTACAGCGTCTCAAGTGCCCGTCTAATTGACGTCATCAGTGTCCGTTGAGTCGCTCAGTGCACGGCGGCCTCACTGACGCTACCACGACCCAAAGCCTTCTGGTCAGACTTCCTCGGCATCCAGAGTTGAGGGTGAGGCCTCCCAGCCACCAGGTAGTTTTTTCTAATTCTCACTACGTTGTATTTTTTTTTTTCATTTTAAAACTTTTATTTTTATGATGATGAAAATTTGCTGGATTGTGAAAATGTGTTGCGGGTTGTGAATTACTATTATTTTACTGTTTTAAGGTTTTGGGAAATGCTATACTACTAGAGGAGGTTGTGTCGAATTTTTTGTACAAATTTAAGCTTAGGGTTTTTACCATTTAAGTATTTTTGGCCAGCTAAAAAAAAACACCAGGGGGCCTAGTCGAATGCTGAAGGAGTTACAGGGCGTACGTCAGAACAACTCCAAGACCAAGATTGTGTATGACCCACAACATTGTGGAGCGGGTACCTCACAACAGCATAGCGGCGTTGCTAGTAGCTGTGGTGTTGTTATTCGAGATAATTGTCCTTTTCAGCGGGAGTCTTGGGCAAAAATTCCTGAGGAGACGAAGATATTGGTGCGAGACAAGTTGTCGGTTAGTATATTAATTTTTAGCCTTTTATCATTTTTTTTAATTTCGTTTACAAATATTAAAAACCAAAATATATTATCTTAATATTATTACATTTGTTACTATTATTTTATTATTTTTCATATTCGTAGTGAGTTTATGATCTTGAGGACATATCCCCTGAGGTCATGGTCTACTTAGAGGAGACCTTAGCAACCCGGTACAAACAATGGAAGAACAATTTTCACAAGCATTTTAAGCGATGGGATGATCCAAAGATTGCTCGCCTATATGTTCCAGACGAGTTGAAGGACCGACCAGAGGATTGGGAGTGGCTCTACAAACATTTTACGGACCCAAAATTTGTGGTATGTATATAATATTTTAATAATAATTTATTATTGTAAATGTTATTTTTTTAAGCATTTTTTATTAATTTATTTCAAATAGTCACACTAACATGTACATTGTGTGTTTAACAAAAGAATTCTATTACTGGCCAGAAAGCTCGGGAGTCAAAGACACTTCTCCACCATTTTGGTTCGCAACCCTTTTTGTATAGGCTTGAGGCACGACGTGAGGTAAAAGTATATTAACTTTGAAATTTTTACAATTTAATTTTTATTATTGATTAATAAAATTTTCTTAATGTTTTTTTCTTTAGGAGGGTTCTAAGTTCCCAGAGATCGACATGTTCAAGGACGTTTACGTTCGACCTGGTAATGAGACCACTAAGCAGCTTCATGTAAGTATATGTTATTATTCTTATATGTATGAATCGTTCAAATATTATTTATATTTTTTTATTAAACATTATATGTTTTTTCTTTATTATTACAGGTTACTATGGAGGAAAAGAGCACTGATGTTCTCCATGAAGCAGCATCGCAGCTTCCCCCAGAGACCCTGATTGAGGACGTCATGGTACCTGAGGATGCAGGTTTTCAGATCATGACTGATGTCCTGAATCAGAACTATAGTCGTCGTCGTGGCAAGGTTGTTCGGGGTATGGGGAAAGTGCGGATTCATGAGACAGGTGCTTCTTCTTCTAGATCGAACACAGCAGAGGTCGATGCATTGAAGGCGGAAGTGATGCAGCTGAGGACTGAGGGCGCGAAGAAGGTTCAACTGAAGGCCCATGCCGATGAGCTGAATACCTGTGTCGGGAGGGTGCAAGAACTTGTACAAGCCATACAAACGTCCGGCCTCCAAATCTCGCTACCAGTACCTCATCATGCTCCACCTTTGACCTCAGAGCCATCTTGCCATGTCGATACCGAGTAGCTTGATATATTAAACCTAGTTCACTTGTAGTTTTTTCTTTTTTGTTCGGACATCTTGTATGTACATTTTCAGATATTTTATAATTAAATACTTTTGCTTGGTTAATTAATTATTCTTTATAATTTAATTACAATATTTATCAAAAAAAATTTAAAAAAATTATTTTTCACTAATTAAAAAAAATAAAAAAAAGGGTTTGCGCAACATACGCCGTAGGATGTGCGTCGCGCAAAGTATCTTTGCACGATGTAGGACTCGCGCAAAAGTACTTGCACGACGTACAATGTGCGTCGCGCAAACGTACTTTACACGATGTACAACGTGCGTCACGCGAAGTCACTTTGCACAACGCAGACAGTGCGTCGCGCAAAGTCACTTTGCACGACGAACGTTGTACGTCGCGCAAAGTATTTTGCACGACGTAGGTTGTGCGTCGCGCAAAGTACTTTGCACGACGTAGGTTGTGCATCGCGCAAAGCCACTTTGCGTGACGCAAGTTATTTTTCGTCGCGCAAACCCTAGCGTCACGGCCATGGCGCGACGGTTAGTGCGCGACGAAGTGTACGTGGCGCAAACCCTTGCACAATGATTTTTGACTTTGCGCGACGAATGTACGTACGTCGCGCAAAGTGTTTTTTTTACTAGTGATATTACTCTTTAGAATTCAAAAAAAAAAAATCATGTAGTGGGACTATGGGTGATTACAGTCATTATTTTTCAAAATATATTTTAATAAATAAACAACAATATCTAAAATAAGTAAATTTAAAAATTTTAAAAAAAAAGTTAAACAGTAAAGTGACTAGTAGTCATTGAACTAACGTGAGTTAGATTTGAAATAACATCAAAATTTAATTTGTGTGAAATTATATTACTACCCATGATTTTATTTGTGATAGAAAACTAAATTGTCTTTTCACTCTTTTTTAATTGACAAATAAGACTTTTATTAATAGGTTGTTTAAAGTTAATTAATAGATATACGTATGCTTTATCCATATGCCACTATAAATATTGTTTAGTTTATAGACTTTTATCATCTGCGTGTTCTTTCATTTGCAAAATATAAGCGGTATGAGAGAAACATGATCATATAATATAATCACTAAAAGAAGATATGTAGTTTTCTTACATATATATAGTCATTAATCTAACGTTGTAGGCGGTCTTTTGTCTCTGTCTTTTTCTTTTTGTTTTTCATTTTGTTTCTTTTTGTTTGTGTGTATAAATAGGTATTGTGTCTTTCGCAGGGTTCCAACATTTTTGTACGTACGCGAATTATGTAATAAGAAGAAATGTACATTGTTGTTGAAAAAAGAGTTAAATAATTTTCCTGGCCAAATTTGTAAAACAAAATGGGATTGGGTGGGCTCATTAAATTAATTAAACCAAAACATTCCACGCATGGACGCTTCTTTATATGTATAACCTTGCTTGAAGCATAGTTCCACATGGATTAAATCGCGAAATCAAATGTTGACAACCATATAACAAGGAAGCCTAAGAATGTATAAGGGACAATTGAAATAGTATTCTTAATTATGCCAAAAGATAAAAATAAATAAATAAAGGGTTTGGGACGGTTGAAATGATACATTGTTCAAATTGCATTGTTTTTTATTTTATTTTAAAAAAAACGATATTATTCACATTAAAGAGGAGGAGGTGGGTTTAGCCTTACAATGGATTAGCAATAATGTGGTTCAAATTCGCCTTTGACGAGAATCAAATCGAAGACCTCTCAACCCCAACCCCAGCTCTGTTTCCTTTTGGTTCCATGTGTTGCCTTTTAATTCCTTGATAATTACTAATACAACTGGTTTTTTTTTTTATCTTATTTGTTTATATACAAGCGATTTTCAGAGATACAAGATTGAAACCATGCCTTCAAATGTACAGAAGAACACACTTAAAAATGCGCATGGTTATGTTGGCCTATAATAAAACTCATGGCTTTGTGCACAAATTAATGACGGCACACTGAGGCAGGAGTACCAATGACGAAATATGTATACCCTATATATATATATATATTTTAATTAATGAATATACGTATTCTTTTTCTATATAGCACTATATATAAATAATATGCGTTTAGTTTATAGACTTTTATTATCAACGTGTTCTTTATTTTTGCATAAAAATTAGTTTGAGAGAAACATGATCACTTATATGGCATTATATAGTCCCTAAAAGAAGAAATGTAGTTTTCTCACTTGTATAAAGTCATTAAACTAACTTTGTAAGCCACTTAGTATTACGGTCTAGTGGTATTTCTCTTCACTTATAAGTTAGAGGTCTTAAGTTCAATTCTAGCCAAATGCAAATTTAAACCACATTATTGCTAGCTCATTGTGAGGCTAAGCCCACCCTCTCTCCCTTAGTTAAAAAAACTTTGTAAGTGCTTTGTCTTTTGTCTCTCTTTTCATTTCCTTTCGTTTGTGTGTGAAGTAGATATTACGTGTCTCTTTTTTCTTTTCGTTTGTGTGTGAAGTAGGTATTATGTCTCTCCGCAGGGTTCCACCATTTTTGTACGTACGTGAATTATGTAATAAGAAGAAAAGTATACTGTCGTTGTGAAAAGAATTAAAATAATTTTTCTGGCCAACCATTTCTCCATAATAAGCGGACTGGGTAATCATTAAATTAATTAAACCAAAAAGTTCCACACATGGACGCTTCTTTATATGTAACCTTGAAGCATAGTTCCATGCCATTGTAGTTGAGGGAGAGAGAGAGAGAGAGAGAGATAATGGAAGCAGCTGGTCGTGAACTGCAACTTCAAGGAAAGCTCTCTGGCAAAGAAGAAATAGAAGTTGAAACACGCAGTGATGATGAGTATCATCCTAAACGAGGAGGCTGGATTACCTTCCCTTTTGTCACTGGTTCTCTCTCCATTTTTCACTCTCTCTTTCAGTTTTTTTTTTTCTTAATTGGTTCCTTATTCTTTAACCGATCTTAGTGTACATCAGTACATGTTATATGCAAATTAACAATGAGTCACTCTACTGATTTTCTCTTACTAGAATTATGATATTGTCGACTATATATATATATATATATATGCCAGACGAATAGGAATATGAATAAGGCAATATAAGGAACGGAATAAAAGTACATGGATTAAAGACGCATAGTTAAAAATTCAAAGGAGATGAGTGAGATTTTCGTCAAAGCACATAGGCCTCATTATGCACAGATAAGCCTATTGGGTTAATAATTTCCTGATTAAATGATGAACATATATACGTACAAATGCAGGAGGTATGTTGGGAATGTCTGTAGCAGGTGGCGGGTGGGCATCGAATTTGCTAGTATTTCTCATAACAAAGTTCAACGTGAAGAGCATAAGCGCCACAAAAATCGGTAATGTCATTTTTGGCACCAACAATCTCCTCCCCATCGTGGGAGCCTTCATTGCTGATTCCTTCTTCGGACCTTTCCCCGTCGTCGCCACTTTTTCCTTCATTTCTTTATTGGTAAAGATTACTCACTAGTTAACTACTTTATACTCGATCAATTTCAACTTACTGCAGCTATGCTGTCTGCAACTAAAGGCATAATTTTATAAGTTGGGGGTAATTTGTCATTCCAAAGAAGCAAGAAAGATAGTGGGAATCTTGGAGAAGTGACAGCCACTTTTATTATACGGGAGTGAGAACAAAAGTGAAATGTTAAACCAAGCGACAATTCTCTATTAAAACAAACCATAACGATTAGTTAATGGTATTAGTTGGCAGGTGGTCCTCTACTACAGTAGTGAGGAGAAGTGTTGTCCTTTACACCACAGCGTGAGTTCAAAGTCAGTCAGCTTCCTAATCTAACGTCTAATCTAACAAATATATCGTTTGAAAAGTATCTATATATATATATATATGTGTGTGTTTGTGTGATGACTATAGTCAATTATCTTAAATAACTGAATGATTAACTTTCATCAGGGTATGATCATATTAACCCTAATAGCTTCAATACCCTCCTTGAGGCCATCAACATGTGCAACAATCGGCTCATCCCTCACTTGTGAAGCTCCATCAAAGTTTCAATTCTCAGTCCTCTATGCAGCAATATCACTAGCTTCTCTAGGACTTGGAGGCACTAGCTTCACAATTGCAACCATGGGAGCTGACCAATTCGATAAGCCCCACGACCAAGGGGTTTTCTTTAACTGGTATTTTCTGGCCTTGTACTTGGCCAACGTCATCAGCATCACAGGCATCATCTACATTCAGAACAACGTGGGATGGGGATTAGGGTTTGGAATTTGTTTCGTCGCAAATGCTATTGGATTGGTGGTGTTCTTGTTGGGAAAACGATTTTATAAGCAAGTTAAACCAAAGGGTAGCCCGTTCGTTTTCATAGCACGTGTATTGGTCGCAGCCATTTGGAAGAGGAAAGCATCAGCTGCAACTTCAAGAGACACAGATTATTATTACGGAGATGGAACTTTGGTTGACAACACAATACCAACAAAAAGATTCAGGTATGCTGATAATTCTGTTCATGTCTAAATTTATTTTTAGCCAATTAACTTTTGTTTGTTTTTTCTATGTTAGTTGAATTCTTACTTAATTTTGTATTTTGCCTAAATTTATTGGCTACTCCACATAGACAAAAATTAGTATAAAAATATATTCATCATCAAGTTATTTTTACTTTATCTAGCTGAAAAATGCAAGCGTCAGATAAACATATATTTCACTTAATTGGATTCTTAAACAACCAACATTGTTGTAAAGATTATTTGCATGGGTACATCATGTCACTATGCATTAGCACCCTCCTAGTTTATTCTATAACACGAGAAAGCTACATTATTGTACACCATTTTTTTATGCAGACTCTTAAACTGTGCGGCGCTAAAAACTGAAACAGACAAGCAATTTGATGGCTCGTATGCAAGATCATGGAAGCTGTGCACTGTCAAAGAAGTGGAAGACCTTAAAACCCTAATGAAAATCATGCCACTATGGTCTACTGGTATATTTTTAGGCACTCCAATCGGTATTTCTACCAGCCTTTTCATACTCCAAGCCCTAACTATGGACAGGCACCTTGGACCACAGTTCATAATCCCTGCCGGTTCATTCGCAGTCTTCAACCTTTTAGCCACAGCCATCTCCATTTTCGTAATAGATAGATTCGTACCACCCAAGTTAACACCCCTCCAACGAATAGGGATTGGTCACGTGATCAACATTGTTGCATTTATTGTGTCAGCCCTAATTGAAAGGAGACGATTAGGAGTGGTTAGAGAACATAACCTCATGAACCATCCCGGTTCAGTGGTGCCCATGTCAGCCTTATGGCTCGTGGCATCGCTATCTGTTTTGGGAATTGGAGAGGGGTTCTATCTCCCAGGACAAGTTGCATTGTTCTATGAAGAGTTCCCAAAATCACTAAAAAGTACTGCAACAGCTATGTCATCGTTGCTGATTGGAATTGGGTTTTTTCTGAGCGCTGCAATCACGAATTTGGTAGACCGGACCACGGGGTGGTTACCAAATGATATAAATCAAGGGCGGCTGGACAATGTGTTTTGGATGTTGGCAGTGATTGGAGTGGTGAATTTTGTGTACTATTTGATTTGTACCAAGTTTTTTAAGTATCAAAACCAAAATGTTGAACTCAAAAATTAAAATTGTAATGGAAAATGTTTCCAAGTTCTAAGAATTGAGGGGGACCAACTTACTCATCACTTAAGAATAATAGCGGTACAAACTCTCAATAAACTTCATATTATTTTTTCCCTCGCGCACCAGACCTAAATGAGGACAAATGTCTTTCTCGGCGGCCTCCTGAGACAAAGAAAGAACACATATTATTCTAAAACAAAATACTTTTTTGAAGTTGAAACCGATTAAACTTTAGTTGGTGCATAAGCCCATGGTGAACTTGGTACATCCTTTAGTTGGTTTTCAATAATAATGTTTGGTTTAGCTGTCATTCGATGGAAGTTTGGTTTGGAATTGTGTGGATTAGGTGATGGCTTATATAAATGCATATACATAAAAACCTTATCCTCCAAATGATTCAAATGTAATCTATTGTATTCACCAAAAGAAGAAATTCCCAGCAGAAGTGAGCCAAATATCACGTGTTAATAGAATTAATGAGTGGATCAAGTTTGCTTTGGCCCCTTCCATATCCATATATATAGGAATTATTTTGTAGACATGTTTGATGCAGAATTCTGCATCCTGAAATAGATCATTTCAATACTTTTATGATACAGACTAATCCTTACAGCAAGTAAGAGATAAGCGATTGGCAGGAAAGAATTTGCCTAACAGGCTTGATATTTTGCCCCTTCTAGCTTTAAGTAGGGAAGAAGACGACTTTACTATTAAGGGTAAAAATGTAATACAGTTAGTAATATAGTTAGATAGTTAGTATTTGGTTAAAGTAATTAGGATTTCTATATAAACAGTATGTGTAATATTCATTTGATAAGTGAATACAAAATCTATTTCTCTCTCAAAACTCTCTCCCCCTCATATCTCTTTGTCTGTTCATCTTCCTGTTCATCCTTTCTCCTTGTTTTTCCCTTCAATCCACAACCATTGCAATGTAGTTAATATGGTATCCGAGCCACCAAGGCTCACGCCATGGATCTTGGTGGTCGATTCCTCTTCTATTTTTCTTCATTACTTTCTTTCGTTTCCGCGTATTTGATCATTTATGCTTCCGTATTCATAGTTCTTATTTTTTTTTGTCTTTGGATTTTTCTTCTGAGGGTTTTGTGTTTAGTTTTGGGATTTTTCTGCTATGAAAAGATCCAAGCATTTCCATGGAGAACAGGAATCAAGAATGTCAATTTTTCATCTGGGTTTCACCGCAAATTTTGACTGGGGTTTCGAGCTCGAGCAAATTAGGTTGCTGGAGAAAGATTTCCCTGGAAGCGACACAGAGCCGTTTGATCTCCAACTCCGAGAGCTGAACTTGCTTCCCCGGCTTGGCCTGTCGGACCTCCGTGAGCCGCTTGATTTTTTCGTCGAGCAGGGCAGCATCCATCGCTCCCTGTCCTTGTGATGCCATTCGATTGGGTTCTCAGATCCTCCCTCGAACGGCTCGGATATCTCCTCAAAATAAACCCTAGAAATCCCAGAGAACAATCTTCGGGTTTTCTTGAATCTGATTCTTAGTCTAGTTGTTGTTCTTGGATTGGTGATGTTTTCGGACCCCAGGTGGGACGACGCCGGGTATGGAACCCAGGCCAATTTTGATTTGCCTTTGGATGTGTATGCTCAGCGAGAACTTGAGTCCCTAACTCTATTTTCTTACAATTTTAATGCATCATTGTTTGTGAATTTTGGTCTACTGAAGCACATTTCATTGGGTTGGATTAAGCTGCCGGTTTTAGTTCAAGAAACTTTGTTAGCACAATGTAGGTTTCTTGAGAGCCTGAGTCTGAAGAAATGTCGGGGCATGAACTACCTCGATATTCGTGGGAAGAACTTCGAGTTAAAGCTAAAATCTTTGGTGGCGTTGTTGGAATCAGAGAGTTGTCAATTGGTTTGTCTCCATTTCCAATCCTGAAGATGTTTTCCACTGACTTGTTTGGTGCTTGAGTTGGAAATTCGAACGTCTGAAAAGTGGGTTGTTTGTCTGAAATTGCACAGTTTGAAGATTTGGGGAAGTTCACGCTGAAAATCAGAGTCGGTAAGTAAGTACCCTGAGTCATGTTCACAAGGTGTTCGAAAGAAAGCCTGAGAGAAGAAGTGTGGTACCCGAATATGTTTCATGGGATTTCGATTCACAGTGTTCTTGGCCCGTCCTCTGCTTTGGTTCCGAACGACATTAATCAGGGTTGGGATATTATCTTATCACCGGTCTGCGATTCCAATTCCCACATGGTTTCTAATGTTTCTGATGCCAAGAACATGGTCGATTGGTCCCGAATCATCCTATTGCTGGGCTCGAAAGGGTTCGTTTCTTTCGTTGTCAGGCTGAATCCTGTTCTTAATCGTTGTTTAGGCATTTCTTATGCTGCAATGGCTTCTTGGGCTTGCAGGAATTTCTCTTCCGCGGTGGTGATTCTTTCTGCTGTCAGGTCTTGATTGTTTGCCAAGATAATTTGAGTCGGTGCATCTGGAATTTGAGTCGGCGAATCTGGTTTTGAGTCGGTGCATCTGGGTTTTTCTCAACATTGCTGGATTTCTCAGGTTATATGTTTCAATTCCCTGCAAAAGTGTATGATTCTTTGATTTTGTGAAGTAGTCGATTGATTTCTTTGAGGCACGAAGCCATTATTCTTTGTTTGCAGTACAAAGCCGTTTCAAGTTTGTTTCTTTGGGCACGAAGCCATTACTGTTTGTTTGCGGCATGAAGCCATTATCGTTTGTTTGCGGCACGAAGCCATTAACGTTTTTCTGTATAGATTAGTTGATTGAAGTTTGTGGGCACGAAGCCATATGTTCTGTAAAGATTAGTTGGTTAGAGTTGTAGTTGTTGAAAGGCTTGGTTTGCAGGGGATTGTAAAATTCTCCATCTACTGCTGGCATTACTTATTGGGCAAGTGACATCCTTTGGTGGAGATGAGACTCCATTTTCCCATCTTTTGATGAAAACAAGGAACTTAGAAGTCTTTGGAGCATCAGACTTGACAGAACCACCACGAAGAGATTGATTGTGCAATTAAGAGGGCTGCTGTTGTTCAACTTTGAATGGTTCAACTCCGTTTTTGGTTTGCTGGTTTCATAACAGTGATTGCAATTGTTCTTCCAATCTCAAACTGGGTTACCCCAGTTGAGAATGAGGGGGAGTATTAAGGGTAAAAATGTAATACAGTTAGTAATATAGTTAGGTAGTTAGTATTTGGTTAAAGTAATTAGGATTTCTATATAAACAGTATGTGTAATCTTCATTTGATAAGTGAATACAAAATCTATTTCTCTCTCAAAACTCTCTCTCCCTCATATCTCTCTGTTCATCTTTCTGTTCATCTTTTCTCCTTGTTTTTCCCTTCAATCCACAACCATTGCAATGTAGTTAACACAAGGGAGTATTCACCAACTGCTATTGTCTACAAGTACAAATAAAGACAATTTTTTCTAACGGAATTGGACTAATGGAAGGAGTAGGATTCTTTCTCCTCTTTTTTTCTCACCCCTTCCCTTTCCCGATGGAATGAAGCACCATCAGGGGCATTGACTGGAAAAAAAAATATTTTTGCACAGGGTATGTTTATTACTCTTGAGGCTTTAGTTTTTGTCCTTATTATATTATATTTTGTCATTTTTATTAAATTTCAAGCCCTTTATTTAAATAATATATTTTGTCATTTTTATTAAATTTCAAGCCCTTTATTTAAATAATTTTTCTGGGCAAAACTTACTCCAATAGTAGTCGGATTGGGTGGGCTCATTAAATTAATGGCCTAATCGGATAAACGGTTCCCGTGGTGATAAGGTAATCGGAAAGTAGCCTCCGTGGTAAAAAAATTAGGATTTAAACCCTCGTGGTGTAGTCCGTTAGCAAATTTAGTCCAAAAGTGACTTTTCGTTAAATGTTTGTTAAATACAAGGGTAAAAACGTATTTTGATGTGTGCACCTTCTTCTTCAATGTTCAATGTTCAATTTAAATTCCGGTGAAAGTTAGGTCCAATTCTAAATTTTACTCGACACAAAATGTTGAAGTAAAATATAAAATTTAGAAAATTGAAGTACCATAGTGAAGCCTTGCAGCATGAGCAGTAGAGAGGCTCTTAGCTGCGTGAACCTTGGAAGCCCACAAGTCAACGTCCATCGTGGTGGTTCAACTCTCCAACGACCCAAGTCAGCCTTTTCGGGCGAGAACTGGTGGAAACCGCCCCTTGGGGAAATGGGTTGGGACCAAAAGGCTTAAGGTTTCAAGCTTTGAGAGAGATATTGGGGTGTGGATGTGGTGATGTTTTGCATACTCTCTCTCTCTCTCTCTCTCTCTCTCTCTCTCTATATATATATATATATATATATATTTGTTTGTTAAAATCCCAATTGTTGTTGTATAAGATTAATGTGAGGTTTAGTTTAGTTTAATTTTTTCAGCATTATCAAATGAATTATTAGTGTTTCGAGATTGCATTGCTGTTTAATCCATGAATTTTTGGAATTTTGGGGTTGATTTGTTAGTCCCCTTCATCTGTTATGTGCGTTGGTTGTACTTGCTTTACAAAGAGAGTAGAGAGACGAGGAAGGAGATGAGGAAGAAGAAGCCACACATCAATGTACATTTTACCCTTGCATATAACAGATATTTAATGGAAAATTCATTTTTGGACTAAATTTGCTAACAAACTATACCATGAGGGTTTAAATCCTAATTTTTTACCATGGGGGCTACTTTTCGATTACCTTATCACCACGGGGACCGTTTATCCGATTAGGCCTAACTTAATTAACCACCAATACGTTCCACACATGGACGCTTCTTTATATGTACAACCTAGAACCATAGTTCCATGCCATTTTAGTTGAGAGAGAAAGAGAGAGAGAGAATGGAAGCAGCTGCTCCTGAACTGCAACAATTTGAAGGAAAGCTCACTGGCAAAGAAGAAAAAGAAGTTGAAATATGCAGTGATGATGAGTATCATCCTAAACTAGGAGGCTGGACTACCTTCCCTTTCGTCACTGGTTCTCTCTCCATTTTTCACTCACTCTTTCAGTTTTTGTTTCTTAATTGGTTCCTTACTTCTTCAACCGATCTTGTGACTAATCTGCATGGCATAAGGGCATTATTTTTTGTTAGTTTACCATAAGTCAAGAGCTAAAGATTTTTTTTACCAACTTGACAGAATAAAGTAATATGAGACACGGAACAAAAATACATGGATCAAAGTCACAGATTAAAAATTCAAAGGAGAATGAGATTTCGATGCAGTACATGAATGATAAATTAATACAGCCACATAAAGTCATGATAGCTGGTGTGGCTTCTCGTTCTTCAAAGAATATGATTAAGGCTCTCTTAATTAGGTTGCATTGTAAGTACAAGATGGTTTCTTTAGTTTTAATTATCTCTTGTATCAATAAGTACGTATATCCCTATTTAAAGGGCTCCAAATGTATTTTTAAAGTAGTCAATTAGAGAATTAAAAAGTTAATGTAGGAAGAGAGTGAGTTTTCTCCTTTCTTAAAATCAAATGTGAGACTTGGTAGTGTATCTCCCTATTTTTGTCCTTTTTTTTTTTATGAAGCTTGTGACACTAAAAAACACTATTCGTGAGCTTGTTGGCTTTATATATAAAAAGATTAGGTATGAGTTAATTAAATATGCATTTAATTCGTGTGTATATGTACACAAATTTACACTGCAGACACATGTTACAATTATTTAGACTATGAATTTGGTCCAAAAAAAAACATCCATGGCGTGGGGTCTTTTACATATAACTAACCAAAATGGCCTAATGTATGATAGATTGGGAATTAATTTGAGAAAATTTTATATTTGTCTGACTCAATTTATGGCAAACGTGCGTCGTTACTTATGATTAGTTGAAGGCCTAATCGGATAAATGGTCCTCATGGTCATAATGTATTCGAAAGATAGCCTCTATGGTAAAAAAATTCAAATTTAAACTCATGTGGTCTAAGTCTATTAGGATTTACGTCCGAAATTAAAACTTATGTCATTCCTCCGTTAGTAGCTTGCAGGTGGGTCTGACGGGTAAGACTAAGGTGGTCATTTCATCATTTCCATTTCATCCCTTCCATTGATCTCCTTTCAGAACGACGATGATGGCCACAATCGCACCGCCAAACTTGTTGTCGATGTCTCCTCTTCCTCGCCACGAAAACAAATCAAAATCTTTCAGACCCTCAAATGGTTACATCTTCCTCAAACCCTCTTCAAAAACCCCTATGTTATCTCCAAATTTGGGCCTTTCTCGTGCCCGATTTCGAGTCTACGACTCTCTCGCCGCAGCCGCCATCACTGGAGTTGCGGACAAGAACGCCAAGATTAACAAGTACTGCGAAATGGGTAATCTGAAATCTACCATGGAAATGGTATCGGGGGCTCAAAAATCCGAGCTTGACTTGGAGGCTTACTGCTCCGTTGTGGAGCTATGTGCTGGAATGATGTCGCTGCAAGACGGAAAAAGGGTTCACTCAATTATCTGTGACAATGGTGTGGAAGCTGATGGGAAACTGGGTGCAAAATTTGTGTTTATGTATGTAAGGGATGAAATGGAAATGATGAAATGACCATCTTAGTGTTATCCATGAAACCCACTTGCAAGCTACTAACGAAGAATGACAGAAGTTCTAATTTCGAGCATAAATCCTAACAGACTTAAACCACAGGGATTTAAATCCGAATTTTTTTACTACATTGGCTATCTTCCGAATACCTTATGACCACGATGACCATTTATCTGATTAGGCCTTAGTTGAAATATACAGTGTGTATGATACAAGATGCTCTGTTCTACATATATATGGAGTACATACAGTACACAGTGCTTAAGTGCTAATAAATTAATAAGAAAGTGTATAAGTTGCTAATTATTTGTTGGGCGAACTTCATAATGTCATCTTGGAAACATTCATTTCTTTTTATCTTCATTAGATGATTGTTCATCCATACAAATTGTAAATGACAAAAATAAATAAAAACCACTGAATTTCTAACTGTTGAATTGAAAATTAAACAAATCAATATACCAAAATAAGTTGGAGTGTGTACAAGAATAAAGAGGGTATGTGAAAATCATTGTCCATAACTATAATCAAATGATAGTGGTCAAAAAGCTGAAATAAATTTGTCAGTTTCGCAAACAAGCAACGTAACTAATCAATTGATGATGGTAACCAAGAGGTTGAAATGCTTCTGTGATTTTTTTAGTTCGAAAATCCAATCGGTTGTCAATTTCGCAAGCAACCAGGCCGCAAACAGCTTCAAGAAATCTGTATGAACTGAAAACTGTGGCTGGTTAGCAAAACTACCGGTTCCGCCAGTTGTAAACAGTTCCACTTTCATTACAAAAACGACCCAATTCTTTTATTCGCATCGACATGCCATTTTCTGCGTTCGTATATTGTCGCCGCCAGTCAGCCTCTTCGCTCAGAAATTAATGGCGCGTTTCTTGTTCACCAACGGCGTTGTTTCGCCACCCGCCGCCACTCCTCCGGTCGCCGCCTTCCTCGAAACCCACCCAGGCGCGTACACAACGTCCCGAACTCACAACGACGCGTCGTTCGTGCTGTTCTGGGAAAGGCACCTGAGGAGACTGGCGGACTCTGTGACAATCCTCTTCAATTCGAATCCTCAACTTCTCTTCGGACCCCACTGCAAAACGACGCCGCCTTCGCTGCCGTCTCTGTCGTCCGACTCCATCTCTCTCCGATCGACGATTCGCGAGCTCGTGAACCGCTCGATGAAGCAAGTGCTGCCGATTGCTATGGAGGAGAGGAGGGAGGGGGAGGAGCTGTCGATTACGGCGTTGGTCAGTGGCAATTTGGAGAAATTGAGGGTTGGGGATGAGGGTTTTGATGTGAGTATCTACATTGGTAGTTATGTGCCTGCTGTGTTTGGTATCAGAGAAAACGGTGCGTTTTTGGCTGTGGTGGGTCGCGGGAGAGATTTTGCTGCTGCAAAGTACTCGGATTGGGTAAGGTCAGTGTTGTGAATGATTCAATCTTCGTTTTTGTTACTTGGATTGTAAGTATTTTGAGCTGTTTCATTGTTTTTTTCTCTTGGGTTTTCAATATTTTGAGTAGTTTGATTGATTTGGTGCCTGCGTTTGTACTGTGTACCTCCGCCGTGTAAGTTTATCTTACATTGCCGGTCCCAAGCCCGGATAAAGGAGGAGGGGGAGGGCGTCAGGTAGTCGACAGCCGGCACTCCATGATCACGTCGAATCCTTATGAAAATGAATCCAGAACGAAATCGCGCTAAAGCTAGGGCGTCACCCGTAAGTGGCGCGCTGTGTGGCCCGAGCACAGTGATAAGTGAGCAAGGGTCGCTGTATCTCCATCGGCACCCGGATGCAGTGTTAAATGAGCAAGGGGGCTATAGAAACTTCTTTTCGAACGACTCCACTCAAAGTTGTTTGGGAGCATATGCTCCTATCAACTTTACACGGGACACACAAAAGAAGTACTTTGATCCTATTAGACGGGGAAGGGTGAAGAAGCTAGGACAGAAGGGTAGAGTTCAAGAGAGCAAAATGCGTTTTAGGAACGTGGAATATAGGAACCTTGACGGGAAAATCTATGGAAGTAGTAGAAGTTATGGTGAGGAGAAGGATAAATATTATGTGCCTACAAGAAACTAAGTGGGTTGGGCGTAAGGCAAAGGATCTAGAAAACTCAGGGTTTAAACTATGGTATTCGGGCACAAATAGAACGAGAAACGGTGTTGGCATCATTGTGGACAAGACCTTGACACAAGATGTTGTAGATGTCAAGAGGGTAGGAGATAGAATCATGGCAATCAAGATTGTAATAGGACAAGAACTTATCAATGTGATTAGTGCGTACGCACCTCAAGTAGGGTTGGATACGAGTTCGAAGGAGAAATTTTGGGAAGACCTTGGAGACTTGGTGCAAGGAATTGCTCAGACGGAGAAGTTATTTATAGGAGGAGATTTAAATGGACACGTGGGCAGGGAGACATGCAACTATGGAGGTTTTCATGGTGGCCATGGTTTTGGGGAGAGAAACGAGGATGGGGAAGCTATCTTGGATTTTTGCAATGGCATATGATCTCTTCTTAGCCAACACCTTCTTTAAGAAGCGGGAAGAACATGTGATCACCTACAAGAGTGGGTCGTCAAAAAACACAAATAGATTTTCTTCTAATGAGGAAAAGGGATCGTATAACTTGTAAGGATTGCAAAGTTATACCAGGAGAGAGCGTGGCTAATCAACATCGCTTGTTGGTGATGGATGTACATATCAAAAGAGTGAGAAAAAAGAACAAGACTTGGAAGTGCCCAAGGACTAGATGGTGGAATCTAAAAGAAGAAAAACAAGCCATTTTCAAAGAGAAAATAACCACCCAGTGTGTGTGGGATAGAGAGGGGGAAGCTAACCAAATGTGGGATTCCATGGCTAGTTGTATCCGAAAAGTAGCAAAAGAGGTATTAGGAGAGTCCAAGGGCTTTGCCCCACACCAAAAAAAGGAATCGTGGTGGTGGAATGAGGAGGTACAAACAAAGGTGAAGGCTAAGAAGGAATGTTGTAAAGCCTTATACAAGGATAGGACCGATGAAAATGGTGAAAGGTATAGAAAAGCGAAGCAAGAGGCGAAGAAAGCTGTGAGAGAAGCTAAGTTAGCGGCTTATGACGATATGTATAAACGACTAGATACCAAAGAAGGAGAGTTGGATATCTATAAACTAGCTAGAGCAAGGGAAAAGAAGACAAGGGACCTAAACCAAGTGAGGTGCATCAAGGATGAGGATGGAAAGGTTCTTGCTACAGAGAACGCGGTTAAAGACAGATGGAAAGGTTATTTTCATAATCTTTTCAATGAAGGACATGAAAGGAGTGCTTCTTTAGGGGAGTTGAGTAACTCAGAAGAGTGTAGAAACTACTCTTTTTATCGTAGAATCCGGAAGGAAGAAGTGGTTGTAGCTTTGAAGAAGATGAAGCATAGAAAAGCAGTAGGCCCAGACGATATACCAATCGAAGTGTGGAAAGTTTTGGGAGAGACGGGTATAACATGGTTCACTGACCTTTTCAATAGGATTTTGAAAACGAAGAAGATGCCAAATGAGTGGCGAACGAGCACTTTGGTGCCTATCTACAAGAATAAGGGCGATGTACAAAATTGCATGAACTATAGGGGTATTAAGCTAATGAGTCATACAATGAAGCTCTGGGAGAGAGTCATTGAGCATAGATTGAGGCAAGAGACACGGGTTTCGGACAACCAATTCGGGTTCATGCCAGGGCGCTCAACCATGGAGGCAATTTATCTCTTATGAAGATTGATGGAAAGATATAGAGATGGGAAAAAGGATTTACACATGGTCTTTATAGATTTGGAAAAAGCGTATGATAGGGTCCCAAGAGACATTCTTTGGAGGATTTTAGAGAAGAAAGGAGTACGAGTAGCATATATCCAAGCTATACAGGATATGTATGAAGGAGCAAAGACTGCCGTAAGAACTCATGAAGGACAAACCGAAAGCTTTCCCATAACTGTAGGATTACATCAAGGCTCATCCTTAAGTCCTTACCTTTTTGCGTTGGTAATGGATGAGTTAACAGGACATATTCAAGATGATATTCCTTGGTGTATGCTTTTCGCAGACGATATAGTGTTGATAGATGAAACTCAAGAAGGGGTAAATGCAAAGCTTAACCTTTGGAGAGAAGTGTTGGAATCTAAAGGTCTTCGCCTAAGCCGATCAAAGACAGAATATATGGAGTGCAAGTTCAGTGCAAATGGAGGCCAAAACGAGTTAGGGGTGAGGATCGGAGATCAAGAAATACCAAAGAGCGACCGTTTTCATTACCTAGGATCTATCTTGCAAAAGAACGGACAATTAGATGGAGATCTCAACCATAGAATACAAGCTGGATGGATGAAGTGGAAGAGTGCATCCGGCGTGTTGTGTGTGACCGCCGTATGCCACTGAAGCTCAAGGGAAAATTTTTTATAGGACGGCAATAAGGCCGGCGATGCTGTATGGCACAGAATGTTGGGCGGTGAAGCATCAACACGTACACACAAAATGGGTGTAGCGGAGATGAGGATGCTTCGTTGGATGTGTGGGCACACGAGAAAGGATAAGATTAGGAATGAGGATATCCGGGGTAAAGTAGGAGTAGCCGAAATTGAAGGAAAGATAAGAGAAAATCGGTTACGGTGGTTTGGACATGTGCAAAGAAGGCCTACTGACGCTCCGATTAGAAGATGCGACTATGGGACAGAGGTTCAGGGTCGAAGGGGTAGAGGAAGACCCAGGAAAACTTTGAGAGAGACCCTAAGAAAAGACTTAGAGTACTTGGATCTAACGGAGGACATGACACAGGACAGAACACAATGGCGTTCTAAGATTCATATAGCCGATCCCACTCAGTGACTTGGATTTTCCAAGTCTCCAACCGAGAAGTTGTCCTCGCTCGGGAAATTAAGGGAACACTACCTCAACCTACATGCTCCACTCACAAAGCTCCAACAGACAAGCTTCAACAAAAGAAAATTCAAAGAACTTAGTGAAGAAGGCTTTGGTGATTTAACACAATATGTTGACATGAAGGAAAGCTTATTTATTGATATCCCCGATAAATTACAAATATGTACATATACTTGAGTCAAAATAAACAAACAAGAGGGAGCCTTCACAAAGGTTGCTTAGGAGAAGTCTCGGCAGTCGGTAGAGCCCCAGAAAGAGAAGGCACCGGAGGGGGATCATTCGGAGCCTCAGCACTGGACAGAACCCTAGAAGGAGGAGGCATCAGAGGTTGATCATTTGGAGCTTCATTACGCGGTACAGCCCCAGAAGACGAAGGCAATAAATGCCTTTGGAACAAACCCACAAATCTCTGATGATCAAGTAAAACCTGACCATCAGATTCCTTCATCTGGTCAAGCTTCCTCTTCATGTTTGTAGCATAGTCATGTGCGAGCCGGTGCAACTGTTTATTCTCATGCTTGAGCCCTCTAATCTCCTGTTTGAGACTCATCACTTCAGCCGCCAATGATTCAACTTGGCGGGTTCGAGCAAATAGGCGTTGGGCCATATTAGACACAGAACCTGCACACTGAACACTAAGAGCCAGAGAATCCTTAACAGCCAACTCATCAGACCGTTTGGAAAGTAGTCTGTTATCTTTGGGAGTGAGAAGGTTCCTGGCCACTACCGCAGCGGTCATATCATTCTTCATCACGGAATCCCCAACGGTAAGAGGACCAGTAGGGGAGACGAAGGATGGGCGCCATATGTTGTCTGGAGAAGGCGGGGCTGCCTCTTTAACAAGGTTCAAGTCAAAACGACGGTCGGAGGGGCCAGACATTTTCAAAGGTGTAGAAGAGAGAAGAGGTCGGACAAAATCAAGATCTTAGAAGTGCAAGAATGGAGCTTCTACTGGTGGATATTCAAGTGTGCTTTGGAACTTAATGTCAGCCTCTATAAAAATCTGCACTCGACGAAGCTTCAGAAATCGAAGAGGCGTTTGCTTTCTCAAAAGCTGGGCTGCTCAGAGACCACGAGGGTCGATCTCAGAAATCGAAGAGGCGTTTGCTTTCTCAAAAGCTGGGTTGCTCAAAGACCACGAAGGCCGATCTCAGAAATCGAAGAGGTTTGCTTTCTCAAAAGCTGGGCTGCTCAGAGACCACGAGGGCCGATCTCAGAAATCGAAGAGGTTTGCTTTCTCAAAAGCTGGGCTGCTCAGAGACCACGAGGGCCGATCTCAGAAATCGAAGAGGTTTGCTTTCTCAAAAGCTGGGCTGATCAGAGACCATGAGGGTCGATCTCAGAAATCGAAGAGGCACCTACTTTTCCAGCCTTGTCAGCACCTGTCACACGCACACTCAGCTTTGCGGAAATTATGGGCATTCTGTCGAAGATTTCTGGCGAAGTAGAAAGCACATGAATCGTACTGTTCAATCACCCACTTCCCACACGCAACAGTAGCTCATGGGTACCACATATAACTTTGCCAAAGTTCTCTGACAAAGTTGAGACTACTTTTCCAGCCTTGTCAGCACCTGTCACACGCACACTCAGCTTTGCGGAAATTATGGGCATTCTGTCGAAGATTTCTGGCGAAGTAGAAAGCACATGAATCGTACTGTTCAATCACCCACTTCCCACACGCAACAGTAGCTCATGGGTACCACATATAACTTTGCCAAAGTTCTCTGACAAAGTCGAGACACGTGAAGCTTGCAACTCTCACTACATCGCTATGACCAAGAAGGGTAAAAGAATAGCAAAGAAACAACACTAACAAAGTTTAGACACATAAATTTTGACGGCCTAGCTACCATATTATTACCCACAAGGGTAAAGGAACAGTACCACTGCTGGATAATTGGAAAGTCCCGGTGTGTCAACCTCTGTGCTTCATGGCAAGGTAGACTAGCAAACATGCCCAACCTTTACTCACATTCGAGAAAACACTCCCAACAAGATTGCTTGCCCCAAAATCGAAGAGGCATCGCCCTCCGAATCTCGAGAGCCAGACTCCCAACATGATTACTTTCTCAAAAATCGAAGAGAGGGTAAAGGAACAGTACCACTACTGGATAATTTGAAAGTCCCTGTGTGTCATCCTCTGTGCTTCGTGGCAAGGTAGACTAGCAAACATGCCCAATCTTTACTCACATTCGAGAAAACACCCCCAACAAGATTGCTTGCTCCAAAATCGAAGAGGCACCGCCCTCCGAATCTCGAGAGCCAGACTCCTAACATGATTACTTTCTCAAAAATCGAAGAGAGGGTAAAGGAACAGTACCACTGCTGCTGGATAATTGGAAAGTCCCTGTGTGTCAACCTCTGTGCTTCGTGGCAAGGTAGACTAGCAAACATGCCCAACCTTTACTCATATTCGAGAAAACACTCCCAACTCCCAACATGATTACTTTCTCAAAAATCGAAGACACCGCTCTCCGAATCTCGAGAGCAGCAGACCCCCAGCATGATTGCTTTCTCAAAAATCGAAGAGGCATCGTTCTCCGAATCTCGAGAGCCAGATCCCCGACAGGATTGCTTGTTCGAAAACCGAAGAGGCACCACTTTCCCAACTTCAAGAGCCGTATCTCCTTGGATAAAGCTTGTCTGTAATCTTCACACGCAACATCAGCTTTCCAGATACCCACAGACCACTTTTTCAAAGTGCTCTGACAGAGTTAAAACTTGTGAAGCTGGCAGCTCCCACTACCGTGCTATGACCAAGCAGGGTAAAGGAATAGCATTATTACTTGATGTTAGGGAGACTCCTATATATGTCGACCTCCATCCCCAACGGACAGGCAGACCTGCAAAAATGCTCAACCCTTCCTCTTATTTGAGAGGGCACTCCCAACGAAGCCTTTTGAAATATTCAGCTTTCTTTCCCCCCGATAATATATAATACCTCTGTAAACAAGCTATACTAGAGCAAGAATATCTCATATCATCAGGGTTAAAAGCAAGAGTATCCCATATCATGCTTTTTCCCTGTCTTTTCCTTTGGCCTTGTTCTTACCTGCAAGACAAGGAGAAAGAGAGCAATCAGTCAGCACTTGGAATCAAGCTTCCAGCCAGGAACTGACTGCCTGGAACCCCTTACCCTGGCATTGCTCTCGAGTACTCATCTTCAACATCTTATGCTTCCAAGGAAGATACCGCATCTGCCTGAGGATAGGGCAAGTGAGAAGGATACAAGGAAGCATGTGGAGACAAGCGTAACAGCACACGTGCCGATACATCCACTACTCTGTCAAAAGCAAAAGTATCCCATATCAGCAGGGTCGAACGTACTCTAGATTTGATGGACTTGTTTTGACCCTCAAATTCTTCAGTCGGCCTTATATACTTTGGAGGAAACCAGAAAACCCTCCAGCCCAGTTCAAGAATAAGCCTGTGAAAAGTTACTTCTTCAAAAGCAAAAGTATCCCATATCATCTCTTCTCATTTTTCTTCTCTTTATCCTTCATGCTGCCTGCAAGATAGGGAGAATGTGAACAATCAGCCGGAGCTCTGATTGCTTACCTTGTCTGTTACCTCTTTCAGCAGATCCCCTAGCTCGGCGACTTGGGGGACTCCTACTACATGGTTTGTATCGCGCTTGACCAAGCCTGAAACTACAAGTAAGCTTCAAGTGACATTGATACATTACCTTGTGCATCTCCACCAGTTACAGATACCACCCCTGGATGGAGGAAGAGTACTTCCAGAGAAGATTCCACATCTACCTATGAGATAGATAAGGAAAGTCAAGCCGATACCACACTCCGGGACTTAGAAGTTTCGTGGTTACGAGATCATTCTCCCACAATATTTCCTAATGTCATTTGTACTAAATCATTCACTTGTACTCCCTAAAGGAGAGCTTGAACCTATGTACTTGTGTAAACCCTTCACAATTACTGAGAACTCCTCTATTCCGTGGACGTAGCCAATCTGGGTGAATCACGTACATCTTGTGTTTGCTTTCCTATCTCTATCCATTTATATACTTATCAACACTAATGACCGGAGCAATCTAGCGAAGATCACAAAAAGTGATCGTTTTCGTTACCTAGGATCTATCTTGCAAGAGAACGGAGAATTAGATGGAGATCTCAACCATAGAATACAAGCTGGATGGATGAAGTGTAAGAGTGTATCCGGCGTGTTGTGTGATCGTCGTAGGCCACTGAAGCTCAAGGGAAAATTTTATAGGACGGCAATAAGGCCAACGATGTTGTATGGCACAGAATGTTGGGCGGTGAAGCATCAACACGTACACAAAATGGGTGTAGCGGAGATGAGGATGCTTCGTGGGATGTATGGGCACACGAGAAAGGATAAGATTGGGAATGAGGATATCCAAGGTAAAGTAGGAGTAGCCAAAATTGAAGGAAATATGAGAGAAAATCGGTTCCGGTGGTTTGGACATGTGCAAAGAAGGCCTACTGACGTTCCGGTTCGAAAATGTGACTACGGGACAGAAGTTCAGGGCCGAAGGGGTAGAGGAAGACCTAGGAAAACTTTGGAAGAGACCCTAAGAAAAGACTTGATTACTTGGATCTAACGGAGGACATGACACAAAACCGAGCGCAATGGCGTTCTAGGATTCATATAGCCGACCCCACTTAGTGGGAAAAGGCTTTGTTGTTGTTGTTGTTGTTGTTGATTGTTGGGTAGCTTAAATGTTCTTGAGCAGTTTGATTGTTTTGTTTCTTGGTTTTTAAGTATTTGGAGCATTTTGATTGTTTTGTTACTTGGATTTCAAGTATTTTGAGAACTTTTATTGTTTTGTTACTTGGGTTTCAAGTATTTTGAGCTGTTTGACTGTTGGGTTGGCATAATGTGCAGGATGAGGAAGTCTTTGGAGAGGTTGAGGCCGCCGAAGGGGACGGAGCTCTTGTTGTCCAATGATGGTGATCGGATTCTTGAGGGCACCGTGTCTAACTTGTTCGTTGTCCGCCGGAAGGTTAGAGGCTATAAGACTTTGTAATTTCGAACCACATTAGGAAAATTCGTGTGTAACTAAGTATTATGTCTTGCTACTGTTATCAATAAGCTCCAGTTATAGATAGTTGCATAATTGGAAAAACAATGAAACTGTTCTCAGGATATCAGTGAAGCTAAAGCCGAAAGTATGCACTGTTTTGAAGTACAGACAGCCCCTCTTAGTGGTGTCCTTCCAGGAATTATTCGGCAACTGGTCATTGAGTATGTTCCCTCCTACTATTTTTTCAAATGTATTTACTATACAGATAGTGTTATCAGCGCCATTGCAACAGAAAAGAAAAAGAAATAGAAAACATTTGGATTTTTCATTACGTTGCCACCAGAGTATGGTAGCTGACATCTGATTGTTTATTTATGCATGGTAGTCTTTTGTTCTTCTCTGTTGGCCAAACAAATTATGATTTAAAACAGGAAGTCCTATTAGACTTCTTTGGTGTCCACGAATTTAGTTGTATGCTTGAAATCAAATCTATTATAACTCTGGTGGATGGTTAAAAGTTGAACTATTGCAAGTCTGTAATGTTTTCCCCATAATGTAAGTGAACACTAACGAGTGACCTGGAGGCAGTATTAAATTGGCAATTCTGGACTAGGATCGTGCACTCCGTCTACTTTTGATTAATGGATTTCCAATTTGATAGGTATATCGAAATTGATAAAGTGCGCATATTGAGATCTGTTATGTTGGTTTTTCTTCTGGTAATTTATGTAGAGTCTGCTTAAGCAAGGGAATTCCCTTGAGAGAAGTTGCACCATTGTGGTCAGAGAGAGAATTTTGGGCAGAGGCATTCATTACAAGTAAGCCTTTACTTCTCTCTTTTATCAGTGCCATGCTATTTGTTAACTATTCAACAAAATATCGTTGCCTTGGAGATCAGTAAATTTAAGGCCCGTCGACACTTGTTGTGGGGATTTAGGACTGATACCAAAGGGCTTTGACCAGCAAGCAATATAAATGAGAATTTTAGTTCAGTTGCGATTCTGCAAACCTTTTGGGGACATTTTCAAGTCTAATTATTTGTGTTTTCCATCCACTTCTGAGTTTCAATATTGTATCTGCTAATTGTGTAATGAAAGGATTAAATTCTACATATATCACTGTTTTTATATGATATATCAGGCATAATTGTGGTACTGTTACATAGAAAGTTGTATGCCATTTGATTTTTTATTATGAAAACGAGTGACCATTTGTTTGTCAGAACATGAAACAACATTAGCTTATTAGTTTATTAGATTAGAATTTACGGGTCGATAGTTTTTTCACTAGTTTGATGCATCATGCATTCCCATTCTGATTATCAAATGCTCTGTGAAAGCTAACTGTTCCAAGGGATTTGATTTGAGGCAACACTGCACTATATATTAGAATATTTTGTATGATTAATATTGCAGGCAGCTTGAGACTTCTGCAGCACGCGAAGACAATTAGTTTTCCAAGTTCATGGGAATCACTGGATTCTAATTCTTTGGAGGACATCACATGGATAGACAAGCATTTTGAGGTGTGTGCATCTAAAGTTTCAAGATGTGCAACTGTTCTTTACTTATCATATATTCTCTGCTTTTTAATCACTATGTATTATTTTTAATATAACTAGGACGGCCCTGGGATGATCACGACAATAATCCAGGTAAATCTAGATATTCTTCTTCTCTTGCACAAAATGTCAACTTGTTCCACCCACAATGAAATAAGAATAAAGTAGTCAATTCCCTGTGTAAAGTGAACTGCTTTAACATCATTCCTCATGATTCTGATAACTTTCTTTTTTTTTTTTTTTTTTTTTTCCGAGCAGAAAGAGGTCATGGAAAAGGCAGTTTTAGAAGGGTACTCCGTCAGTTACTTATAAAAGGAGGATAGATCTTCTTCTTGCATGGTACTTGTACGTCTCCATGAGTTTATCGTCTTGTCCCTCCCTTCAATGCTGGAACGGGTGATAACAAGCTTGAATTTACGTCGTTTGTCAAGTAAGCTTTCTATGGTTCTTTTAGTCCAGTTCAAGCGAACCAAGGAACATAATGTAACGGATCTACTTTGTTTAGAATGTAAACCCTCCTAGAACATAGCTATATAGTATCAAGCCTCTATCACAGATACAAATTAGTTTGATCTCTTTGCGCTCGATGTAGTTGGCAATAAGTTTGAAGACATTCGATATACTTATATTTTAGACATTGTTTTGCATATTACTGCTGCTACTCATGGTTTGGTAGACAGGTCTCATACTTCCAGTGTACCCATTCCAAACTAGGCAGGAGCAACATCGGTTGTCGTATATGAGAATCCCGGAAACCAAACAGAACCCAGTAACTTTTCACGTACGGTCTCATCAAAAGACCGGAACCTGTCTATGTAACCACCGGAATAGCCGATCTTAGCAGGAATTCAGCTGAGTGGCACCCTTAATTGTTGGGGACCAACTTTTGCTTCATCTTTTGCACAGTTGCAGCTAAAGCTATGTGTGAACCATAAAAATGCAAAAGCTTAAATGCATTATTGTCCAATGTCTTTGCTTTTTCTGAGTTGGGATAACAATATAACATGGGCTGCTGTGTGCCAGCCGAACAAGCATCTTCTAATCTTTCCCTAATTAAGTAGCTAATTAATTACTTATGGTCTAAAACATGTCTAATTTTGTTTTCCATCTCTTCCTTTGTTGTTGTTGATGTGGACCTTCGTATCTTTCCTCCATAATCGTGGATTGGATTTTGGTTTACGAGAATATAGAGTGATAAGATTGGTTAAGGGATAAGAAAAGCATCAGAATCTCGAGTTCAATTGACCGCTTTGGTGCCGGAGGAGGTGCACACTGTTATAACCAAATTAGCTCCGCATGCATTGTTTTTGTGTTGGATGATTTCATGCGTTTAAAATTAATAAAATAAAAAAAAGAACGACTATTGCATCCTCGTTGCAATGACATTTCATAATTTTGATATTGACTACAATTATAATCTCAACGGTAAGTTGGTCATAGTATTGTAGCCGAATCCCGTATTCGTACACAATAAAATTTATCCTAGTGTTGCGTACATAGCTCATATTAATAAACCTAGCTGCTTATAAATTTGAATGGATTGGGGTGACAATATTAGCATAGACCAGCTTCACCTAACCTTGAGACCCACTATAAATTATGTAGTGCTTTATATGTTAATAACACCCTGTCAGATGGTCATCAAATCGAAAAGTAGTACTAAAAATAATAATAAATTTTAAAAGTTATGTTGTGTCGCGTCAAATCATATCATAATACGTTCAGACTTTAAAATTAAAGTTCTATCGTATCATGTTTCTATTATTTTAGATTTCCGTTATTTCTTAGAAAAAACAAGTTTATGTTACGTATTTAACGCAAAGTATAAATTCACTTCATCCTAATTTTAAAAAGGGCATAATAAACCCATAACATTTATAAATGTGAAAATTAATCAATCTTTTTGTATATCATTAGTTAAACGCGTTTGTCGTATCAAAAACTCAAATTATCCATATTTAACACGAACACAACGTTTTATGAATCATATAACTAGTCATGTCAAGAGTTAAAAAAAAAATTAACTTTGACTTGCTAACTTCGTATCAAAATTGAATTGAAGATTTAGAAAACACAATAGGCATTTTTTACATTAGGGGAGATGAGGAGTTTGGCTAAGCCACACAATAGGCAGCCTAATTTGATATCAAATTCTCCATTCACGAGATTTAAATCTAAAACTTCTCACTTCTAAAAAAAAAAAATACCACAATACCGTACAACTGAGTGGCTAAGATTTGGACTTGTAAAACGCTCACAAAGAGCTTTTTTGAGGCCAATAGTGTGTCGTACGAAGCCCATAACTCGGCCCTTTAACCCTGTAAAAAAATCTGAGCGAAAAAAAAAATAACCGACGGAAACCAGAACGAACGGTGTTGATAAATGGTAGTAAGCATCAAGCCAAAAACCTTCCTCCTTCGCTTTCTCCATCGTCAGATCGCTTCCCTCTCCAACGCGCGCCAAATACAAACACTTTCACCTTCCCCTCTGTCTCTCTACGTATACAGGTACGAAAAGCTTCCCTCTTTCTGCTCTAATGGCGGCAGACCTAAACCTAACGGGCCGGCCTAGGGCTCCGATTCCAATTTCCGATTTTGTTATTGAATTGTTTGGTGAAATGCAGTGAATCGTTGTGAGTAATGGCGGAGGCACCGACGAGTCCGGCGGGCGGGAGCCATGAGAGCGGCGGCGAGCAGAGCCCCCAGGGAGGAGGAGGAGGAGGAGGCGGTAGCGGCGTCAGGGAGCAGGATAGATATTTGCCAATCGCCAACATCAGTCGCATCATGAAGAAGGCTCTGCCGACCAACGGCAAGATCGCCAAGGACGCCAAGGACACCGTCCAGGAATGCGTCTCCGAATTCATTAGCTTCGTCACCAGCGAGTAATTTTCACCCTTCTCTCTCTTTATCTTTCTTTCTCTCTCTACTGTTATTTACTTTGCTTTTCAATCGGAATTTTCTGTGTTGATTTTGAATTGGGGTTTTTTTGGGTGTTTAGGGCCAGCGATAAGTGCCAGAAGGAGAAGCGGAAGACCATCAACGGCGACGATTTGTTGTGGGCGATGGCCACGTTAGGGTTTGAGGACTATATCGAGCCCCTCAGGATTTACTTGGCTAGGTACAGGGAGGTAATTATTCTTTAACTTTTGCCTTTTATTTCTCCTTTTTCTTTTACTTTAATTCACTTTACATTTTAGCATTTTTCAAATGGAAATTTGCAGTTTGGTTGTAGCAGTTTCTGGGTTTTTTTTTTTCTTCCTATTTTTAATTTATGCAATGGTGTTTTCTTATCAGTTCAATCTAACACTTCCTTTTCTTCTTCTTTGTTTTTCCCCTTTGGTTTGATTGGTTGGGATCATTGGATTGTCACAGACAGAGGTAACTAAACATTCTTCAGTGTTAAATCTAGTTTTATGTTCGATTGAAGTTTGAACTACGTTTGAATTGTTTAGTTTATTAGTTTGTATCACTTTTGGAGCATTAGAAATAACTTGACCGGAAAACTTTGAACAGGGTGATGCAAAGGGGTCTGCTAGGGGTGGAGATGGTTCTTCGAAAGGGAATGCTGTTCCAGCAATGCCTGGCCCAAGTGCACAGGTCTGATTTTATAAAGCCGATTAAAATTTTATTCTGTGTAAAGTTTTGAACTTGGAATTGTGACCTAACTCAATTCTCTTTTTGTTGGGTGGTGAATAAATATTGGCAGTTTGTTCATCAGGGAGCATTGAATTATGGCAACCCTCAAGTAACTATCTTTATCTATCTTCCTTCTATTTTCGCATGGACAAATACATGACATATATACACACACATTGTGTGCTTTCAGCCTCATATACATTTGATCTTTTTCAGAAACAAGCTAATTAGAATTACTCTAGAATGGGAATCTCTGTAATTGACATATGAACGACTTTGTTCAACTTTTAGGTTGCCCCTTCGAAAAGTTTAGAATGACAGAATCTTAACCAAAATTTACAACTGACATGTTTTCACATTAGTCTTGTTTTGAGCATATGATATGTGCTTGCTAAACATTTGGACTAGAGTTGCACTGGTTTTATGTAAATGCTTTCGGTCCATGTTGTCCATTAAAGCCACCAGTAGCTTCTTATGACAAAGACCATACGGGATTGTGTGTTTTTTTCTATCTAGGTGAAGATGTAGTGATTCTGGGACACATAAATTCGAGTGAATAGTGTATAACAAAATTTCAGTATGTGTACATCGATAGTTATGGTTGGTGAAGAACTTGCTGCTTGAAAAATCAACTGCCTTTTATTCTTTGATGCCTGTGAAGGTTTTTTTTATAGGATTTACATCTTCCAATGAAACTTTCTGAAGTTGAGAAATTATAGCTTTGCCTGTACTATCTATTGGCTGGTTTGGTAGTTGTCAACATTTCACCATAAATCTGAAGGCAGTTCAATGAAGTCTGTTTGAAGTTTGGAAAAATATAGCTTGATTTTTACCAACTATAGGCTTTAGAATTGTCTTGGGGATTCTAATAAGATGCAGCATCTTAGTCATCTCGAGAAAACTTGCCTGTCACATTAATAGACTGTTTAGAATAGTCTTTTAAGAGAAACATTTTATCACTTATAAAAATCTTTACTCTTTTAGATTACTTTTATTTTTCCTAATGGTAATTCCAAAGCTTTTTATTAAATAGGGAACCAAGGCACATTTAATAGAGTATATTTTTTGCACTATCACTGAAAGTAGTGGATATCCATGTTTCATAAAAACAGATTCACTGGTGACGGGTTTTCACATTCCTTAAGAACCTGTTTGCGGGTGAAGGTGTCTAGTGTACCCATTAATACCAAGTGTTACTGAAGTGTCACATACTTTTATTGCATTGCATTAGTGTCTGCTTTGAGAACAGGATCTCTCACCTTATAATATCTTGCATTTGTCAAAACATGCTGTGACGCTCAATTTGTTACATTATTTTTTTGCTTTTTGGAAAGGATATTATTTCTTATTGGTTTGTATGGTTCTTTCAGTTCACTGAATGAATCCACTTGCCTTATAATTTTTTTTTTCTGCTCAATTGTAGGAGGATTATTATGTGCCATTGAACAATATGGGTAATGGAAGTTGATGCTTTTGCGAGTGATATGAGGAAGAAGAGAGGACATGGATTGTGGTCAATGTGCAATTGATCTTGATGATGTGTTCCTCGATATCTTGCAATCCAGGCACAGCATCTCGTTGTTCATTCCATGCAAAGCAACGAGTAGAAGGTTTTAATTTCGTCTTATATCATTTTTAAGAATTCGAAGGTGGTAAAGTTGTTAATTTTCAATACTGATAGTATCATTTATGTGAATGACAACTATGTTTCTGGGGTCTCTGTTTTGGTTGGGGTAGGGTTGATTTGTATTTCGCAGATGCTCCCATTAGCTGGGTTTGTGTAAAGTTTTCTTTGGCTCTGTGTCTAGTTTAGTTGCCTGACCGTGTTAAGAAATGCTGTTTTAATCGGATGCTATTCTTAGAACCCCATTTAAAGAAAAAAAAAGGTTGAAATATATGAAGATTTTCATATAACGAGTTTGGTTATCTCACTTTGCTGTCTAGCTATAGCAAGTAATTGTCCTTGGGGATTTGGGGCATGGATTTTGCCCTGTGTGTTGTGTTTTATTCGGGATGCTATCCCGTTCGATGGCTGTATTTTTGTTGTGTCACAAGCCAAACGTGCACCGTTGCCAGTGTTATAGCAACAAAGTAAATAGCTTGAATTGGTGTTGTATGATGAGGCTCAAAAATCATTCGAAGATTTGAGTTTGAGTTCGTGCGCATAATTTTTCTGTGTATGTTTCAAGCATCAAATTTTCTCCGTGTATGTTTCAAACTGTGATTTTTAGAGTAAGAGTCGAGAGTTAAACTAATAAACCTCCGACGTTTGTTATTTTGTTGCTGTGACTTGAAGTCCTAGAACCCTAGAGTTTGTGAGACGTGGTCGGACCTAAACCTTGTTGATTAAGCACGTTGAACGTGCTTCGACGTGCTTAACTTATGAGTTGTCGGACTAGGAACTCCAGTTACCCAAAACGTTGTGAAAATGTCGAGACATGAACCAAACAAGAAAGAAACAGTGATGGATGAGTAGGACATGCAGAAAACCACCGGTGAGTCGCACACAAAAACAATCACCGACCGCCAGTCCTCATCCTGTCCTTGTCCAAGTACTCTTTCGTTATTAACAGGCGCACGTGACATCACGTGATCCTTGTCACCACCAATGTTCGGATTTTTGAAGGAGCAGGCGTCACGTTGCGCGCACGTGAGCTGTGATAATAGATAAGAGAGGGAGAGAGAGGGAGGGAGAGAGAGAGAGAGAGAGAGAGAGAGAGTAATGGACACATCATAATCATATTGACAGGTTCTTTATGTAAATGGATTTTTATTTTTTCAAAAAATGGGGATTAGGTGTAGAGCTCATTTCGCATTGAATTTCAACAATTCGATCGTCTATTTTGTAAGTCTCGATTCATATATCATCTTTGTAAAATTCAATTAAATCCAAAATCATTTGCCTATTTAATTATCAAGATAAAATTTCATTGTTTCTTATATAAAAAAATATTCGTTAATTTCTTTGAATCCAATTAGATGTCTTAAACATTTCTTATTTGGCTAATATTTTGCAAATATGATATATGAGATGCAACTTAAATAATAGACATTTCGGATTGTTAAAGTTAGATATGGTGTGAATCCTACAACTAATTTCTATTTTTATAATAAAAAAAATGAAGGTCCATTCCCTTAAAGTTTTTATCATATCGATATGGTCTCTTTTATTTGTGTATGAGAACAAATTGGGTGTGTTCCTCCCCACGACGTGAGTATCGTTTGTCTCTCAATGTATCACCCACCACTATCACAATTCGTACTGTCCTCTTATCGAACAATATGATATACCATGTTAGTGAGTTTTTAATACGAGTTATTTCAAATTATTTCTCTCAAAGAATATAATAAGGTCTTGTATATATGACAGGAGAATATTCCCCATGCATTTTGGTGAGGCAAGAAAAACCAAGACAAAAGGACCTTCAAATTTAGTGCGGCAAACTTCTGGATTGCTCATGCCAAACTCACCGTCAAATTATATGCTTCATTTTCATACATAAAAATAGAGAGGAAAAATGAGTGTGACTTCAACACTACGAATCTGTTTTTTTTATTTTTTTTATTTACAATTATTTGAATTTTTTTATATTTAATCTCAATTCTCAACCATTCATTATACATACCATTCAAAGGAAAAATTAATTTTCTATATTTATAACAAATATAAAAATAAAAATAAAAGATTCTATATAAACATCCTGCAATTAGGATGGGCAATGGTTATGCGGGCGGGTAACCGCAGTTAATTTACCCATAACCATTTATGCTTATACCCGCATAACCGTTTACCCGTTGGGTAATTGCCTAAACGGTTATACACATACCCATAACCGTTTATAAACGGTTAACCATACCCATAACCGCATACTCATTTAAGCGTAACTGTTTAATACCCGTTTACCCATTTATCCTTTTTAACCCATTTATCTTCTTTTTTTTTACCATTACCCTTTTTTCACCTGTCTACATGTTTTTTAACAACTTGAAAATTAAAAAAAAATTGTCATAATTTATTTGTTTGGACAATTAAACACCGTTATAGGTACATTCATCATACATTTCCATATTTTAATTTTTTAAATCCTTATACCATTCCAATAATTGAAATAATAGTTTACGAACGATATTTTTAACTGTTACCAATGAAGGTAAATATAAAATTTGTTAAGTATTATTGGGTTACAAAAATTGTTTAGAAGACATTTCTGTCAAAGCATTTCTGTCAATTTCACGGTTACCCGCAAGAAATTTAAATTAATTTGGCCAATTCCTTGATGATGAGAATTATCATTCCTGTAGTAGTGTTATTGAGAGAATGACCGATGAATTCCTTGCTAATTTATTAGGTGTTAAGTATTATTGGATCGAGAACATGGTTTGTGTTAGTTTTACATATATAAAATAAATCGGTAAACGGTTACCCGTTTATAACCGTGGTTAATACCCATAACCGGCCATTTAAATTTTGCGGGTAAACGGTTATACCCATAACCGTTTATTTATCTAAACGGTTACCCATAACCGTAACCATTTAATTTAAATGGGCGGGTAACCGCGGTTACCCATAACCAATGGGTATTTGCCCATCCCTACCTGCAATGCATCATTTGAGTGTGTGAGTGCATAGGGAAGCATGTGTGCCACTTAGGCCAACTCAGAAGAAGGGAAGAGGATCCTCGGATTCACTTCGTGGGAATCCTAGAAATCCTCACACATTTTAGTCGTTCATCGTAGATCGTGCGATCAGTTTTCATTAGTTACTATTTGTGTTTAATTTTAAATAAGAAAAATCATATGATTTCTGATCGCATGATGCATGATGAATGTCTAAAATGTAAGGATCACTAGAATCCCCACAAAGTGGATCCGGATGAAATCCAAATTTCAGAAGAAGAACATGAGAACATGGATCCTCTTCGGATCCATTGGTTCTAATTCACCAAGTTACATCATTCGGGCTATTAAAATTTGATCTAACAGTTAAAGTTATTATAACTTTTAAAGTGAACCCCTATTTATAATCATTAGATTAAATTTCAATGATCCGGATAATGTAACTTGATAGATTAGGATCAATGAATCCGAAGAGTATCCATGTCCGGTCCAGCCAGCTCACACCACTACCGGTAGTAGCACCCCTTCTTCATGCCTCCTTTTATTATTTCTTTCTTTCTTTCTCCCCTCAAATCTACCTTTTACTTACTGTACCCCACCCCGAAAGCCTCTGTTGGTCAATGGTCAAAAGGAACCCATATTTATGAACTGACGAAATATCCCTGTTGATGTACAGCTGGCCACGTTATAATCCACAGTGAAAGAGAGAAAGAGTCGGGGGGTTTTTGAGAGATTCGGCCGGCAAACCTCCGCACGTGGGACCAAAAGTGGTTTGCCAAGGGAAAACAGAGCTGAGTTCGGATTCTCGTTTCTTTTTATGAGGATCTTCGAAATCTGTATATTATATTTTTTTATTATATATCATGCAATTATAAATTATTTTAAATATTTTTATTTAAAATTAAATACAAACAGCATTTGATAAAAACTGATCATACGATGTACGATGAACATACACAATTTACAAATTTCCAAGATTCTCACCAAAATGATCCGGAGAGGATCCTGTCGGGATAGAGCCACACAACACCCTTCATGCTCTTTATTATGGACAAGGATTGTCTGCCCTCCCACTTCCCGTGCCCTCCCGTGCCCTCCTATTTGTGTGGTCACGGTTAAGGCACGTCAATATTTTATATTATTATTCATTTTTGTCTTATTATATCTATAAAAAAATAATATAAAATGTTGACGTGGCTTAACCGTAACCACACAAAACAGGAGGGCACAGAAGTGCACCGGAAGTGGGAGGGTAGACAATCATTGTCCCTTTATTATTCCCATGTCTCTACTCCGTTTGTTGTCTGAAATGTTTGAAATTTCTCTGGTCGAATATCGAAAGAAGTAAAGAAGGGTACAAAAAAACTCTAAAATTTTGGCTAAATCATATTTCGTTTATTTTTCGATCATATCAGTTAAATATCGGAGATATAAACAATGCATCTTACTATTTGTATCGTATTTATTATTTTAGTTTTGATGTCAGATAACCTAATTTTCGTTTTCACAACACTGTGCGTCCAATATTAATTCTTAAAGATAATAAGAACTTTGAGTACTTTTGTTTTATCTTTTGCTCAATCCTCAAAGTCTTCTCATTTCATAGCTCTCTCAGCCCTAAATTCATTCACATTAATTTGTAAAAATATGTTTTCACATGAAAGTGTAAGATTAATCTCCAAAACAGACGAGATGTGGATTAAATCAGTTAGTCAAATCAATATTTTTTTTCTTGCACTCGAGTTCAAATCTCCCTCTTTGTAAATTAGAGCAGTTTATAATATTTGCTTTTTAAAAAATAAAACTCTAAACAATGGCCTATTCTGAATGAAGGAATTATTGTCCCATTTGGATAATTGGCTGTTGTATCTTTATATATAGATGGAGAAGACAAATATAGTAAAATATTCATAATACCAAAAATGCTCATCGCTTCTTACAACTTTTAAAAAGAACAATTCATTAAACAAGAAATATTAGTAAAATAATTAAAAGAAAACAACCCCGCGTAAAGCGAGTAACTAACCCTTTTAAAAGATTTAAAAAAAAATCATCCAAACTGTAAGTTACTTTTTTTTTTCAATAGAATTCAAAATTTCAAAAATTAATAAAAATTAAACAAAAAAATGTAAATTGTCACATGCGTTAGCGCAGCAAAAGGGCTAGTGAGAAGAAAATGTGACAGCCTCCTTCATTAACGCCACTAATTACCCTTGGAAACTGCCCTTGTTTTGGGATGAATCTTGATCTTCTCCTAAGTTAAGGGTGAGGATCCTCCTGAGCAAATTTATAGGACCATTGAAATTTTATCCAACAATTACAAACATGAGGTTCTTCTAAAAATTATAATAATTGTAAGTATTAAATAAAATTTCAACGGCTCGATAGGCTTTCTCACGAGGATTCTCATCCTTAACTTAGGAAAGGATCCTAATCCGAATCTTTGAAGCCATGTTTGATCGCATAGACAGACAGGGACATCAAACAATGTTGTAAGCGAAGGTACACAAGTTTTCCTTAACGAAGAGAGCTTCTCCTTCAATATAGAATTCATAGTGGGTCCACGTGATCAAGCAGTTAATATTTATGAAATTAAACTTATGCACATCAGATCAGACGGCTTCTGTCCTTTGACCGTATCGTAGCGTACAACATGCAGACACAGAGCAAGCAGTTTCACTCCAAAACCACAACTTTGCCATTTTTGGGGCCAGTCCCCAAATTATACAAAGCACTGCTTGTGAACAAAAACTCATTTAAATGACGGTTGTAACCTTTTACATACAACTGAATTTTATCAAACAAGTTAATCAAGTACGGATAAATATGTCAAACAATTAATAAAATAAAATAAAAATAAAAGGCAAAAAGATTTTAAAAGAAATCGATGTCTCCCACTTAAATCTAGGGGTGCAACTCAGGTGGGTTGGACGAGTTGGAAGATCAACCCAATCCTAATCCAATTTTTACAATTTGGGCTAGAGTTCGGGTTGTGTTTCATTCGAGTTCATTTGGGCTCATGTTTAATTGGGTTAGGGTTTACTTAGGTTGAGTTCAGGTTGCCCAACTTTTTCAAGTTTAATCTTGTAATAACTTAGTTTCCAAGAATTCGTAAAAAAATTAAGCCAAGTAGCATCAAAGCTAGCTAACTTTAATTTCATAAATCAATCTACTATAAAGCTTTAGGATTTAGAGACTACGAATATGCTGATTAATCAAAGGCTCTTATTCCCTAAAAGTTTAAGTAATTATAAAGGGTAATTTATTAAAAAAAAAAAATTAGAAAGGCATTGGTTTTTGGACTTGACTCACTTGGGTGTAATATGAGCATTAATTGATATGGGTACAATCTGGTTAGATTGGGTTTGATTAGTCAGGTTGGGTTGGGTTGGGGATGGACGGGGAAATGATCAACTCAAGTCAAACCAATCAATGAACGGGTTGAAATTGGGTTGGGTTCGGGAGGGTTATAACTAAAAAAACTCACTTGTTTGGGCTTAAAGTTAGATTGGATATGGGCAGGTTCGGATTGGCTCAACCAAGTTGCACCCCTACTTCAACCCCTCACCCCTTCTCCTTCCAAGCATTTAAAAAAAATATTAAAAAATGATTTTACGTATAGTGGTGTTTTTTTTTTTCCAGTTGTAATCAATAAGGTCTTAAGTTCAATACTCAACAAATTATGTTATATTAGATGTTAGATCAGTCACTGACGGAGTTCAAATCCATGCTGTCATACAAGGGCTCAACTTATTTCTACCACTGTGATAACAAAATTTATCGTTTGACAAAAACACTCAACAAATTACTTTTGTATTTGTCATTTAAAGTCCACATCTTTTAGGCTTTTTTTATTGAATAAATGCTTTTATTAACGGAAAGGAATCCGGAGAGGATTCCTCTCACCAAGTCCACATCATCAGAGCCATTGAAATTTGATCTAACGGTTAAAGTTATTATAATTTTAAAGAAACTCCCTGTTTGTAGCTGTTGTATCAAATTTCAATGGTCCGGATGGATGAACTTGGTGAAACGGATCCAGAACCTTTCCTTTATTAACCATCATAGAATAATATAAAGATTAAAAAAAAAAAATCAAACATGAAAATCAGGAACTAAAATCTCGTCTCATTTAAAGGCAGGCTACTTGATTAAACATCACAAGACTTAAAACAAAAAGCGTACAAAAATATTAGTATTGTGTTCCGAACCTAGAAGATATAGGTTGCACGCGGGTACAGGTGATCATGTCCAAACACACAGAAAAATGTACTGTCGTATTTGTATCCATGCGTGAAGGTGTTCTGGAGCCCATATCGTATCCGTCGACTGCCTTTTGTTTCTAGGACTGCACGTCATGTAAGTCTGTTTCATTAAAAATACGTGGGGACCACCCATATAACTTACGGCGTCTAGCTGTCTCTTTGATAATCGGTTCTTCCATTTTTGTAACATGTTCCCACGCGTCAACCAGGCGCATGGGATCACGCGCAAGTAATTGGTAAATATTAATATTTTACCACCTATATTTTTTAGAAAATAAGGAAATTAATATTCATGCAGTATAAAGACCTGTGTTCTGTACTCAATTTCTACCCCCCTTGTCGCTTGGTTCATGAATCATGCACCAGTGATTTTGAAGCACACAATTAGAGATTTTTCTTACCAAAACATGGTAAATGCCAATTAGTCAAGCTGTACTGGAGGAGCAGGAGCTGTACATGTGATCTCGACTGTGTTTGTTGTCAAGTTACCAAAAGAAGGAAACGGTGTGCTAGTTGTACTACTTCATGTGCGTTAGATGTACGTTTGACTTATCATGTGAGAAAAGAAACATACAAAACCGATGAACAAAAGTTTGTAGAATTGGATATCATGCACAAAATCGTGAGTGCTCGTTGTACTAATTATATACAACAATTGTAACTAGTTCTTTTCGTGTGTACCTGATCACTTGAGAAGAGAGACTTACATAACCGATGCATAAAAAATCTTAAAATATTCGTGAGCACGTGTAACGCTTTAGTACACTTAATCAGATATTCAAAATATCTGAATTTACAATGAACGTATCACTTGAGAAAAGAAACATACAAAATCGATGAATGAAAGTTGTGTACAACTGGATATTGTGCACAAAATCGTGAGTGCTAGTTGTACTGATTGTATACGACAACTGTAACTAATTCTTTTCGCATGTACATTGTCACGTGAGAAGAGAGACATACATAACTGGCACATAAAAAATCTTAAAATATCCTCAAGCACGTATAACGCTTTAGTATATTTAATTAGAAATTCAAAATATCTGAATTTACAACTCATATCATACTCAATTTACCTTCACCTAAACGAGAGATTTTTTAGTGTGACCGTTATACAGGATGATACATCACGTGTCATTAAATAAATAATGAGATATGTGTGTTAAAAAATTAATAACTTTAAAAATAAAAAATTTCACTACTTACATAAAAACACATGATGTGTCACCTTTATTCTCGTCACAATTAAAAATTTCTCCGGCTAAGCAAAAGAGAGCCACATCAAATTCCCCACCCACATCCAAAGAGAGAATTGAGTTTATGAGCCATGGGTGCGTGATCACTCAGGCCTCAACAAAGTTTTATCTCTCTTTGCCTCTCTGTTTTTCTCCAAATATTTTATTACCTCCACCGCACTCCCTTACAGTGCTTCCACTCTTCCCCCTTATATACCATCCCTCCTCCTTTCTCTCCCCCTAAAACCTCCCCACCCCCTCCCTCCCTCCCTCCCTCCCTCCCTTCCTCTCTCTCTCTCTCTCTCTCTCTCTCTCTCTCTCTCTCTCTCGCTTAAGTTTTTCTTCATAAACACAAACACATTAGTGCCGAATTACATCAAAGGGTATTTGGAGGATATTATTTGCATTGGGGTGGTCGTTTTTTCCGGGGGCAAGAATGACAATGAGCAACAACGTCACTCACGGGCAGTTCGGTGACACCACACTGACCAAAGTCTTCGTCGGAGGGCTGGCGTGGGAGACTCCCAAAGAGGCCCTGAGGGCGCACTTCGAAAAGTACGGCGAGATCTTCGAGGCCGTCATCATCTCCGACAAACTCACCGGCCGATCCAAGGGCTACGGTTTCGTGAGTCTTCAATTTTTCTTTCTCTTTTGGCAACTTTGATGGTAATATGATTGTGGTGGTGATCGGTGGTTTTTAATGATGTTTTTCTATAATGTAACGCGTAGGTAACCTTCAAGGAGCCGGAGGCGGCTAAGAAGGCTTGTGAGGATGCGACGCCGGTCATCAACGGCCGCCGTGCCAACTGCAACCTCGCTTCCCTCGGGGCTCGCCGCCCTAGGTCCGCGTCAAACACCACCCCTCCTCCTCAGCGAGGTATATATATTACAATCTACAATATCTGATACATTATCGATATTCACTAAGGTGGGATTTTCATCTGACATTGCATCTAAATGATTATTATGAAGGATCCAACGGTGGGGGAGCGAGGTCCATGTCACCTGCACCTGCACCTGCAAATCACGTGCAGTGGTACTACCCAGCACCAACAGGGACTCCGACGACCACCCCATTCCACCACCAGCATCACCAGGCCGTTCCATTTTATGGGTATTTACCAATATTTCCACGCCATTAATTCCCCATTTTATTTTTGGTACGTCTGTTAAATAATTCAAACAATTAAAGGAAATAAAATGATTTTATTTTCTCTCTTTTCAGCTACTCCCCCACATACATTGCTCCTGATATGAGTTACCCTCATGTAAGTAATGTGTTTTCCGACTTCAATCTTCTGGTCGTGTTTTCTATGTATTTATGTCTAAAACTACGTTGCAGAAAAGGAAGTCAAACTTAAGTGCAAGCATCGAGCATAATATCATGATTAACTGATCTAAATTACGTTTATGTTTGTGACTTAAAACTAAATGGAATTATTTGAGGGGTCAATGTGATTTGATACTTGTTCTTCGTATGACAATGGTGAATTTGCAGAAGGTGGGCTACACAGGTCGAGCTTACATGAACGGGCACTACTCTGCTCAAGTGTACCCAGCACAGCCTATGGTGGGACACAACACTTTGATGCCAATGTATCCTCTCTACCATTACCACCATCACCACCAATCACATACAATGGGCTTACCTGCTCACATCTACTCGCCAACCACGGCCGGACACGTGGCCACAGTCCCAACCATCATGTCCAAACCAGCATCCATTGCTCCTAACACAGGTAGATAGATGGTTGATGCACTGATTTTATGGTGTACTTGCTCACATGCTAACATGTTCAACCTAGTCAATGTCCCCAAATGGGAACGTGGAAAAAAATAATTGCCAACTCTCATTTTGGTGAACTCACGTGGCTTGAACATGGTTATTGGACTTTTGTTCGTATTTAAATCCAAATAATTTTTCAATTGTCAAGATTTAGCGTTTTAGATACTTCAAGAATGAAGTAATTTTCACACTCGCATTTTTTCTTTCTGCATCACATCCAGTTTAGTATACTGAAACAAAGAAAATAGTGCATGAAGGAAAAAAAGAAAGTATGAAATCACTATCTGGTTTAGCTAGTGTACGTGATGTATTGATGTGAAGGTAAAAGTGTCAAGCATGAATGAAAGGAGAAACTTTGAAAGAACTTATAAGAGGTTTAACTATATCTCATATTACCAATTAGTTTTATGATCGACTCTCAACAATTTTTTATATTATCAAAGGGGGTTGGCCCACGTGTGAACCCGACAACCACACATAATCCTCGTCGCACAAATCGTGCTGCCCATTTATTTGGCTTCAAAATTCGCCCATGTTAAGGAAGCTTGTGTCACCTCAACTTTCTTGACGTGATACTAGTTTAAAATGTTATATAAGGCTCAAAACATGGTAAACAAGACAAGTTTTGGCTATTGATTCATTTATATCTTATTGGTATGAAACATTTTAGCGTTCACGTACTATATTATGAACATATGATTATGTTAAATACACAATATAATATAAATGGATTGATAACATCACGTAACAGTGTTACAACAAGACCGAAGTTATTTGTTTTTGGTGTCTGTTTTCATTCCAAGTTGGCATTTTTCTTCATTAAATCCAAGTAGATATTGTAGATTCCATATATTGTAGTAGTTTAAGGCAATTAATTAATTAAATTTATTTTGTATGAATAGATATAAACTGATTGCTAGAGAAACAGTGTGCTTGGCTGTGGAATAGCAGGTGCAGTTGGCAGAGAAGAGGACGAGAGCTTTAAGAAAGTAAAGGGCATGCACTGCACTACTCATTCAAATTAGTTGGCAAAATAACAAAAGGGGGAACGTGGTGGCTGCACAGAGCAACATTATTATCTCTGATCTGTTGTAGCTCTTTCTTTCCAATTAATTTATTTTTATTTATTTAATTTTTAATTAATTCCATAAGTGTTCTTAATTAATTTAGGTGTTTCTGATAAACTGTTGTAGCTCTTTCTTTCCAATTTATTTATTTTTATTTATTTAATTTTTAATTAATTCCATAAGTGTTCTTAATTAATTTAGGTGTTTCTGATAAATTCTTTCATTCTCCTCTCTCTCTCTCTCACTCTCTAACATATCCATCTCAGCTTGAGCTGTGAACCCTTCGACAAAAACAATGTAACAGAGAAGTCATTGTATGCATGTTCTCTCGATTGCCCACATCTTGTGGGTTGCTTTTCATGGCTTCATTCGACTTTTTCTGCATAAACTCGCTCTTTCGCACTTAAATCTTATGCCCGCGGAGTACACATCTCTTTGTGTTTACAACGCTGGTTGCGTTATCGTTGTTACATACATAAAATATAATGTTCCAGATTGTAGGATAAATTCTTTGCTCGGGCACTCGCACAACATAAGAAGTTATTCGATATTTAAACATGTTCAAGCCAATACAATTTCTATTTATGTTTTGGGCTGATTTGAGTTGAGTTGCAGAGTATGCAGACATAAAGAGTAAAATCAATTAGTTACAGATGTGATACCAACTCAGGGTTACAGATGTGATACCAACTCAGGGTCACCAATTACTGAGTGTATACCGCTTCCACTCTATCTATCTCGTTGTATGACTTATCACTTTTGACTTTTCTATTTTGAACGTTCATAACGTCTTCAATACTCAACGAAATCAAGTGATTCATAAACGAAAATCATACTTCTCGACGAGACAAAGAGAATGGTACCTTTTTTGACGGCTAACTCGCCGTGGTTTGGCCGGAAAACGACTCGAAAGTGGCTGTCTTGGTCTTGAGTTAGCCACTTTCGAACCGTTTTCCAGCCAAAACATAGCAAGTTAGGTGTTGAAAAAGATACCATTCTCTTTGCCTCGTCGAGAAGTATGATTTTCGTTTTTGAATCACTTGATTTCGTTGAGTATTGAAGAAGTTATGAACGTTTAAAGTTTACCCATTTTTCAAGTTTTCACTCGGACTAGTCAACTTTGAGGCTATTTTCCAGCAATCTCCGGTAACCATTGGGCTTCGAAATAGGTATATTCGTATTCCACACTTCCCTATCTTTATTTTGATATATTATGGGTCGAATTTGGTTAATAAACGATTGAGTTACGAAGCTTTGAAAATTGCCTAAACGTCCAGGACACTTAACGGAGTTTTTAACAGAATGACCAAAATGATGGATGATGGACAATCTCAGAGACCACATTTATCGATTTGGAATCTTAAAGACCAAAGTGATGAGTCATGCAAATCTCAGGAATCATTTTGGCGATTTACCGAATTTTATTTTTTATGATTTTTATTCAGCAATCATTATTCTTTTCCACCAATTTTTTTTATATCCGTCGGTGTTGAAAATCATCTCATGGAAAAATTTGATGCTCATGGTTTGTTGATTCAATAGGGTTGGAATGAAATGTTTGAATGAAATCAATAAACAAAATGAAATAAAACTCATTAAATGTGTGGCACAATTCTAAGTCATTAGATTTCTCTCGAGTGGTCGAGGAAATGAGATCCACCTCCTATACTGAACTCTTTTAAATTGAAGTCATTGGAAATAATCAAAAATTAAAATGGAATAAAATTTTAATCAACTTAAACCGTGTAAGGTGATTATGAATTTAAACTATATTTTGTAAATCATATAATATAATTATTAATATTAAATTATTAGTATTAACTAACATGTTTATTTTCTACTGATAACACGTAATGATTTGCCTTAATTTACCTTATTTCACAGTTAACAAAATTCGACTATTTACCGCTATATCTGGTTTGAATAAATAGTTTAAAACATCACCCGTAAAACCAAATTGTTGGGCCTCTATGTGCAATTTTATTTTTAATATTTCTGGATCTCCCAAAAGTACACTTCCCTTGTACCCAAAATCGCGAAACCCATTCTCTCTCCTCTCTCTCTCTCTCTCTCTCTCTCTCTCTCTCTCCCCTTCCTAAACCCACAAGCCTCAAGGCTTTAATCTTGTTCGGAAGATCTGGAGGTAAACGCACAAAATCACTAACCTTCGAGCTTTAAACTTTCAAATTATGTTGCCTTCATATATTCGTTGCTTTAATTTTCTCGATTGCATGCTTAGCTCAGTTTTGTGATTAGGGTTTTTCAAATTTTCAAATTTTTTGGTAATTTTTGGAAGTAAAAAATGAAAAGAAGTTAAAGTTGATGGTTTTGGAAAATTCCCAGATAAAATCTCTCAATGGATGAGCAAAAGGATATGGATTTTGCATTGGGTAGTGGGTCAGAGTCCACTGTGAGTGTGAGCGGACATGTGGCTGGTGAAACCCTAGCTGGGGCTGAGGCTTGTGTGAGTGAGGGTCAGGTTGAGGGGTCTTTTGGGGAGGATGTTGGTGACGATGAAGGCGGTGATTGTGAGGGGGATGATATAATGGTGGAGGTTCTGGGTTCTAATGTCTATGTTGGTGGAGTTTGCACTAATGGGGATGGGGGCGATGAGGGGGTGGGACGTGATGAGTCGGTTGAGGTTGATATGGGGTCGGAGGGAAATGTGAGATCTTCCGGAGGAGATGGTGGTAAAGTGGGTGAGCTGGATTCGGTGGCTGCAGACATTAGTTCAACAGTTATAGAAACCCAGGTTGTTCATTTTGAGGAAGCTGAGATGGTTGTGAGGCAGGATGTGGATTCAGAGGAAGTTAATGTTTCGGATGAAAAAGCACAGGATGCCACAGCAGAAAATGGACTTGGGGGTTCCTTGATTGAACCTGTAGGTAGTGAAACACAAGTTGTCGTCAGTGAAGTAGTGAGGGAAAGTGTAGAAGTTTCCGCGGGTGGATTGGTGGAGGTTGTGGAACATGAAAAGAAGTTGGTTGTTGGTGAGGTTGATGCACTCAATGATTTGAAGGCACAAAAAGCTGGTGTTTCAGATGATGAAGTATGGAATCCTGGAATTGAAAAAGCTACAGTGACTGTTAATGAAGAAGGTAATCCCAAACCCTCAAGTGAACAAAGCCAAGTTTCTGCTGGTGGTGATGATGTTGCCGGGGTGGACAATGTAGATATTCTGACTTCCAAAGTTGCAGGTAAGGAAACTGGTAAAACTAATGAAAATTCGAGTAATCCAGTAGAAGAACAGCTGGTTAAGATTGAGCCAGTAGGTGGTAGCACCCATAGTGGCAGCAATGTACCTGAAAATTCAGTGTCTTCTCCTATGCCGCCTCAAGTAGTTCTTGGAAGTGACACGGGAGCAACAGGTGCACAAGATTCGGAAAAAAGCCAGTTCTTGAAACCTGAAGAGAGTGTAGAGGACATGGTTCATGATATTGCTTTGGTTTCAACTACCTTATCTCTGCCTGCTCAAGTAATTCCTGGAGGTGTAGTTTCAGTAACAGATGGAAGGGGCCTTTTGAATTCTGAAAAAGAACTGCACATGAAGCCTGAAGAGAGTATAGGCAAGAACACGTTCCATGATACTGTGCTGGTTGAATCAAATACAGAGCAAGAGATGGAAAAGGACAGCCACGGTAATGGTGCTGAACAGGTTGGCGTGGATGGAGCAGATCAATCCCTGGAGTCTGAAAAGTGTTTAGAAAAGTCTGCGACTGCTTATGTTGCTCCAATTCATCCCGATATGGAAGCAGAGGAAGTCAATGAACAAGTGAGTGATGCTGAGGGTGTATTAAATGGAGGGGAACAGATAGAAGATGAAAGGGATATTACTCCCATGGACACTGAGGAGGTTTTGGATTCTGTGACTGCAGCTGAGACCAATGTTGTGCATGAGGTAGGAGTTAAAGAACAATTTACTGATGCTGTGCTAGATGGTTTACACGGAGGGCAATACATGGAAGGTGAAAAAGAAGCCACTGATGCTGAACAACCAAAAGCGGGTGAAGAGGACATTCTTAAACAAGAAGCTATCGAAGGAAGCTCAGAAATTGTGCCTCAACCGAGATATGAGCTGCCACCAGAAAATCATGTGTTCTCTGCATCTGATTTAGTTTGGGGTAAAGTGAAGAGCCATCCATGGTGGCCTGGACAGATATTTGATTATACAGTTGCATCTGAGAAGGCAATGAAATATCACAAAAAAGATTGCTTTTTGGTAGCATATTTTGGGGACCGTACGTTTGCTTGGAATGAACCATCTAGTTTAAGGCCTTTTCGATCTTACTTTTCCCAGTCAGAAAAGCAAGGTAATTCAGAAGCGTTCCAGAATGCTGTCAATTGTGCACTGGAAGAAGTTTCGAGACGTGTTGGATTGGGGCTAGCATGCTCTTGCATACCAAAAGAAGTCTATGAGAAGATGAGGTTCCAGAAAGTTGAAAATGCTGGGATCTGCCAAGAATCCAGTAGAAGAGATGAAGTGGATGAATCGGCAAGTGCCAGTTCTCTTGAATGTAATAAATTACTGGAATACATAAAAGCTTTATCACGGTTTCCGTCTGGTAACAGTGACCGATTAGAAGTTGTGATAGCTAAGGCTCATATGTTAGCATTTTATCGCTTGAAGGGTTACTACAACTTGCCAAAATTCCAATCTTGTGGAGATATATTGGAAAACAAAGATGAAAGGATTGAGCATACAACTCCTAATGGTAAGGATGTTAAAGGTACTTTCTCTGGCCCCGACATTATTACGTATTCTCACAAGCGTAAACATAATTTAAGAGGTGGCGTGTATTCTAAGGTAAAAGAAAGAAGCCTGTCGGAATTAATGGACGGCGGCCTAGATTCTCTAGACGGCGGTGATTGGTTGGATGGGAACGAAACTGATGGTTTGGTCTCACCATCCTCTGGCAAGAGACGGAAGGGTTTTGAGTATCATGTTGATGACGATGGAAGGAAAGTTACCGTTGCAAAAGTTTCTAATACCACACCTGCCCCAAAGCAGTCTTTTAAGATTGGTGAATGTATCCAGAGAGTTGCAAGCCAACTTACAGGGTCTCCTATTGTGAAGTCCAACAGTGACAGACCTGCTGGGGATGGATCTGCTGTTGCCTTCCAGAGTTCTGGTGATGTCCATAGAGGGAAAACAATTGATGGAACAGAGTACTCATCGCTAGATGAATTACTGTCACAACTTCAGTCGGCAGCAGAAGATCCGCGGAAGGATTACCATAGCTTGAAAACTGTTGTTAATTTCTTCTGTGATTTTAGGAATTCGGTAGCTGTAGGTCAGCTTCCTGGGATGGAGCATGTAGCTGTGGACAAAGTTGGTGGTAGAAAGAGGAAGTCAAATTCTGCATTTGGGTTGCCGGAAACTTTTGAATTTGATGATATGAATGATACTTATTGGACAGACAGGGTAATCCAAAATGGCGCTGAAGAGCAAACACCTCGAAGGGGCAGGAAGGTTAATTATCAACCTGTTGTTCTTGCCCAACCAGAAAAATCCCCTCAAGAGGGTCGCAGGCCATACACCAGGAAGCGGTATTCCCAAACCGTTAATGTTTTGCCGCCAGAGAAACCTGTTGGCTATGTGGATGAGAATGCCCCAACAGAACTTGTTATGAACTTCACTGAGGTGAATTCTGTTCCCTCAGAAATAAAGCTAAATAGAATGTTTAGGCGCTTTGGACCTCTGAAGGAAGCTGAAACAGAAGTTGATAGGGAGAGCAGTCGTGCTAGAGTTGTTTTCAAGAAATGTTCTGATGCAGAGGTAGCTATTGATAGTGCGGGAAAATTCAAAATCTTCGGATCAATACCTGTAAACTACCAGCTCAATTATACTCCATCTCAGCTCAACTATACTCCGTCTATCCAATTTAGCATTTCTCCCAGTGCCACAACCCATGATCAGGAGATGCAACTTGTTCTTTCCTCCCATGATCAAGAGATGCACCTTGATCTCTCCGCCCACGACCAAATGCAACTTGATCTTTCCACCCACGACCATATGCAACTGGATATGCAACTTGATCTTTCCTCCCATGACCAGATGCACCTTGATCTCTCCACCTTCGATAACCTGTGAAGTTGTCAGGTAATGATGGACCTGGATTAAATTTCATTGCACTGATCTTTGAAATTCTGCTTAAGCTTGCTTAGCTGCAAACTTTCAACTAGGTTTGTAGCATTTAAAGGTTTTATTTCTTTAAAAATGAAAACAAAAAACTATAGGAAGTGAACAGATTCACGGGTTTGGGGAATTAGGAATTAACAAAGGCCTTCTTACGCCCTGGTTGGTGTCAAATGGTTACGTGTGCAGAGTTTCTTTTTTCATTTTCTTTTGTTTGGTGGGGGAGGTGAAATTTAAAGAATGACATTGTGTCCTGAGTTTCTGTAGTTGTTTCCAAATCTATACTTGGTATTGGTCTTACTTTTATGTGCCCTGGCACTTGGACCGCCCTGGCACTTGGACCGATGTATGGGAATGAGGTTTTACCCCATGTCGCATAAAGAATAATGAGCAGATTTTACTCTATATCCTTCTTTGATAGTATGCAATTATATGATGTATTCTTCAATTTCCGATTTTTCACAACTTTGGTTTTGTAGTCTTCTAGCTGGTATCATTTTGTTTCAATAGTTAACTTTTCTTTTACATGTTTTATTGCAGGGAGAGTAAATGCTGAAGAAGAAAAAAGAGAGAGCAATCATAGCGTGCAGGTATATATGCCCTGGGAAGCCCTAGGACGAGCGCAGCTGAATCGGCTGCTGAAGGAGGTAACCAGACCGTGTATTCATCTGGTTGTCGTGAATTTAATGTGTGCCAAGGTTCTCGCTGTTTTCTAGTCACGAAGATGCCTGTTTTTTGCTTCCTTCTGTGCTCTTATGCATGTTAGGGTTCTTAGTTTGAACGTATAGCAGAGGTCGCTGATCCTTCCTTGATGGCTGCAATTGTGGCATCATTTTGTATCGATGAATAGGGCCAAAAGATCATGTATGATTGTGCATTATCCCTTGTTGAATAACGGTGACCGATAAATTTTGCGAAAACCATGCTGATTGCCGGAGGGTTCTGAGGGTCGTTTTGGCGCTCGGAAACTTGGGAGTTCCAAATATTGTGTTGGAATTCTAAGTTTAAAGCTTGGGGGAAAAAGTAGCATGCTTTTGCAATGTGATGTGTGTGTGATCCATGTATGTGTGCGCCTTCTCTTCCCGTGGTTGCAAAGCAGGAGATGCACAAAGTCCATTCACACTTCATTCCCATCCGTCGGTATAATGTTACCATCGTGGAGGTTTTTCTCCGGTGCTGGTTAAATCTTGGTTGATGTGAGTGAATTGTCCGGCAAGATTTATGGCCGACTTGTGGTGGCTGTCGTGCGTTTTTGTTTCGTGGGCTGGTATTTTACCCAGGTGGGTGATGGATCTGTCTACAATCTATCCAGATGGACCACCTGGTGTTTTGAGTTAAAATACGGACTAATCCTCATGCTGTTTTAGTATCATGTGAGGCGGTAGCATATTTTTGTTGCTTGTTGAAGGACATAAATATTCATGATCCAACAAAAACTAAAATAACCTCATCCACCATAGAATTAAGTTAGGTACTCACACGTGTTCTTGCATCAAAGTTATGCATTCAATCTAACTATCTTGTTCTTTAGATTTAATGGACTTGTTTTGACCCCTAAATTCTTGATTGTTCTTTTAGCTAGGGGTGGTTCGGTGTGGGATACCATACCGAAACTAGTATTCCGAATCCCAAACCAAAATTTTTTGGGATGGGAATTTGAAGACCAATCCCAAACCAAATTTTCGGGAATCTTAAAATATTTTGGAGATTTCGGGACAAATCGGGAATCCTAAAATTTAAATATGAAATTTTGATTTGTTGTTCAAATATATAATTCAAGAACACATTCATGAACTAGGAATGTTAGTTCATTCACACTACCATTTAATCTAAAACTAGCATGTCTGACTGTTTTTATCAGAGTCAAAATTCAAATTAATTAAACCCTTTTTGCAATCTGTTGAGAGACAAAAGAATCAAGCCTTCTGAAATCATCAGTCATGGCAACATCAATAATAAATCCAAATGAATATCAAACAGAACATGAAAAATATGTAAGGTGTAAGGCATTCCAGGTTACGTAGCATGAATTAGAAACTACTAGCATCAATTATAAAAGAATAATATATATAATATATATGTATAAATATATATATATATATAATAATTAATATTATATATTTTCGGTTCGGTATGGGATTCCCGAAATATCGAGAAGCCAATCCCAAATCATGTACCGAAATTTTGGGATCGGTTCGGGATAGCATCCCAAAAATTTCAGGAATTTCGGTTTGGGAAATTTTTGGTTTGGGATTGGGATTTTTTCGGTTTGATTTGGGATTTTCGGGAATTTTTTCCACACCTACTTTTAGCCTTCTCAGCATAGCCTTTTGCTAAATTTGAGAGATATTTTCAATGAATCAGCTCGCTTAGGCTTTGTGAATCACATTGTTCAGTTATAGGGTGTGCCATCACTATTGTACCTCATTGGGATGCACGTTTCACTTCCAAGTCTAGTGAACCCTTCTTGAAGACCATGGTTACTAAGTTGTCATGTACCACATTTCATTCTCGGACTGTTGGACAAATTGAACGAACTATCTAGACCTTGGAGGACGTGTTGTGTTCATTCGTTCTGTGGTTTCAGCATGATTAGAAGTTGCACCAATCTCTATTGGAGTTGTTTACGACAACAATTATTATTTCTAGTTTAGGTATGACTCTATTTGGGACATTGTATAAGAGATTCTACAAGCAACACTTGTTAGACAAAAGAGTTTTGTGAACTGGTATTTGAAGGATTGAAATTATGATGAGGGAAAATGTGTGCTTCAGATGATGTTGCCTTGGAGTTAGACAAAATGGTGATTTTGCACCCTTGGGAAGTTACTACTTGTTTATTGAGACAACAATGTGTTGTCGATATTGTGGGTTGCAGACTGTAATATCGATGGCTTATTCGTTGAGTTCGCTAAGCAAGTAGGCAAGTAGGCAGTATACGTGAAGTGAAATAGAACATGAGTTATGTTGAGGAGCCAGTGGCGATTGTTGATCGACAGGATGAAGTGCTGAGAAAAAAGGTCATTTCGTTGGTAAAGGTGTTGTGAAGGAACCATGCAGTTGAGGATGTGGGAAACAGAAGAACTGATGAGAAGTCAATATCCGTACCTGTTTACTTAAGGTAGTAAATTTTAGGGATGAAATTCTCTTAAGGGGGTAGATTGTGATACCTTATCCTTAATTTAACATTTTTGAATTATTAAATAGTGTGAATTTACCAAAATGCCTTTGAGGCATGAATGTTGACTTTCTTTGACCATCTCGTCAAAACGCGTATGACTAATTTTCTTAGTTTATCCTTAGTGTACTCATTGCCATAAATGCGTGGGCATGAACGGATTCGAGTTTGGAGTTATAACGAAGATTTTACGTTACGAAACGTCAAACGTTTTTCGGATATTTCACGTTTCGTCTCTTGTGACCTTAATTTGTGAGCCAATGGGACCCATTTTGGATCATTGTCCCTTTGTTCCTCCCCCTACCCATGAGTCTCCCTTCTTTTTTTTCTGATTTCTATCAAAACACTCTATCTCTCTTTACAAATTCTCTCCCCCACCTTTTGGCCCTCTTGTTTCTTTCTCAAACCAGCCCTCCCCGAAGGCACCACAAGCAACAACAAGCAGACCACAACAAACCACAACAACTAGACTACACCACCATATTCCCTTGTAGTCCCAAAGAGTTCTTGAACCAGAAAATAGAAGAAAAACCATTCGAATACTCCCTCCCTGAGTTGCACTATGCAAGGAACTTCTTCGACGAATTCTCGCCATTTCCGACAAAGGAACACGAAAAAGCTCAAAGAAACTAATTGTGCAAATCTGGAATTTTCAGGCCGTGGTCATTTGGCCATCTTTCAGGCCATATTTTAGTCAACTTTGGTCACCACTTGGTATGAATCTCTTCTCCACATTCCTAACTACATTTTAACTTTTGAATCACTCGATTTGGACTTACATTGAGCTCGAAATGGGCTCTCGAAGTTGGGGGAAAAATCTGGGATTTTTCTAGAAAATCATAGGGCGGTGTGTGGGCACACGTGGAGGCTGCCTTGGCCGGTGCGTGGAACACACGTACCTCCAAAGGAGGTATTGTGGACAGTGGCACCGACGACTTTCTGGCGGCCTATCTCCACCGGAGGTATTGTGGCCGCCGCCCCATAGTGTTCCCCCGGGGGCGGGGGGAACCCGAGGACCTCTCTTAGGTTTTTCGACGTCTTGAATTCGTTTACGACATCTGTTTTCCCAAATTCAATCGTTTTAGTAGAGTTTTATTACTTGGTCCCTTTATATGCTTAGGTGTGTTTGTTAGTGGTGTTTCTGTCCCTTCTAGTTTGAACGGATTTTCAACGACGGAATACTGTGAGTGGACACCTTCCAAAATGCATGTTTTAATTGCTAGAAATGCATACATGAAAAGCACGATCTTATGACTACGTTTTGCGAAACGTTTATGAGTAAATCGGATTTACGCGTTTTATGAAATATCATGCTTTATCGAATTTACGTTACTAAGATATCTGATGAGTATGATTTATGATATGATGTTTGAGCTATTGAGCTTCGATGAGATATATTTTGGAAAGATTATGTTTATGATTTTTTGTGCTTACGTAGTGGACACTCATTTATGTATGCCTTTGGGTGGGTGATGTAGGGCTTTCGAACGAATGATATTTATATATGCCTTCGGGCGGGTGATGTAGGGCTTATGGGCGGAAGATTTATGTATGCCTTCAGGAGGGTGATGTCGGGCCTACGGGTGGAAGATTTATATATGCCTTCGGGCCAGCGATGTACGGCCTTCGGACGAATGATATTTATATATGCCTTCGGGCGGGTGATGTAGGGCCTACGGGCAGAAGATTTATATATGCCTTTAGGCAGGTGATGTAGGGCCTACGGGTGGAAGATTTATATATACCTTCGGGCGAGCGATGTACGGCCTTCGGGCAATTGGGATACCACTACTAAGCACACTATATACAATATATGTTTTATGAAGGTTTTATGGCATGCTAGGTTTTTTGAAAAACCTACAACTTATTATGCTATGTGAGTTTTCTAAAACTGGGGATTAGTACGTTGGAGAATAACTGTTTTAGTATTACATATATATATAACTTGGTCCACTCATGTTTTGTTGTGTGCCCCTTCAGGACCTAGGAACGAGGCATATGACCTGAGCTACGAGGCATTTCCATATCTGTGAATTTATGTCCTCCTCTCTACGTAGGACATCTCTTGTAATTGCACTTTCTAATATTCTTTCCGCTTGTATTTCGAATTAGTAGCATGCTCTTAACATTTCATGCATGATCATTTTTAAATTGTTGGCAGTTGATTATTATATTTTATTAAGGTTTGGACTTGAATACTATATTGCGTGGTTACACGTAAAATTTTTATGCATGTTCCTCATGTTCTTAGTATATGCAATCATGAAATGGCTTGCGTCACCCTTAGATGTTGGTTATCACGTGGCCATTATGTTACCCTTCGGACACCGGAATCGGGGCTTGTCAGCGAGGGCTAAACTAAGACTCAAGTTAAGAACACCAACATGCATGCAAAAAAAAATAAAGAAAAAAAAAAAATAGAAGTAATGAAAAGAACTTGTAAAGTCCCATGGCATCTGTTTCGTGTGAAACTTTAGTTTGGGTAAGCTGTGGTTGTCTAGCATCTAGAGGATAGCCCAATTTATAAGCATGCAACTTGAGGTAAATGAAGGTTGGTGATTTCCACGTTCTTTATTTCTAGCTATCAGACTAAATAAATAAATAATAATAATAATAATAAACATAATTAAATATTAACGTGTGGGAGGCTAAAAATAGTGTCTGTTTTTCTAAACAAATATAAAAAACTGACTAGGAAAGCATTAGTGGAATTCCTTGACTAAGGTACAGTTTGGGATTGAGGTGATTAAAAAAAAAGCTGAGAGTTTTTTTGTGTTTGGTAAACATTCAGCTTCAGCTTTTTTTTCACTGTTTGGGTGAAAAAAAGCCAAAAACAAGAAGCTACAAAACCCAGCTTTGAAAAACCGGCTTTTTTTCACATCTGTTTTGCATAAAAATTTACCAAACACTATAATACTGCTTTTTTTTTTTTTTTCAAAAGCATTTTTACAAAAAAGTTTACCAAACACTCTACAGCTTTATTTCACAGCCGTTTATTCTCACAGCACAACAGAAACAGTTTTTTTTCAAAGCACAACAA